AAGGCAGAGAACCGAGTGGCCAGGATTTCCTTGGAATGTAATGTTGATGAAAGAAGGCCTCGGGGAAAGCCCAAGACGCCTTGGGAGAAAGGTCTCAGATGGGCCTTTGATAGAAGAGATGTGGACTGGTGGAAGAGGCGGCAGTTGTCACAGGATCGGCAGGCTCTTCAAGAATGCTCCTTACACCGCTCAGCGATAGAAGAGGAAACGATTAAAAAGAAGTTAATAGTGATAAATAATGTTGAAGATAGATAGAAATATTGTTTAAATCTGCCGAAACGACCAATTTAATCATGGAATGATTTGAATAAACACATATTTCTTTCAAAATTACCTCAAAAAACAAATAAAAAGCAATTTTTTTACTATCCTATAAAGAAGTATGAATCGTCCTTAGTTCTTAAAAATTAAAATTGTAAGGGTAAATATCAAGCCAACGCAAATTCTTCTTTAGTACCAGATTGAGGGCTTCTCGCTGTTTCCTCGGCACACAGTGGGACAAGTAAGGGAAAACTAGCGACATCGGCTACACCTATTTTTTTTTTTTTTTTTCAATTGAACTATTCAATAAAAACAGATACTTATCGACCCACAACAGGATTTCATAGCCTACATGATATTTCAAATGATGATGGGAGAAGATAGGTACATTTTGCTGCCTCAAATGGACTAACTGTTTTTAGCACGTGTTTTCCTGATATAAGTATACATCAGGCAACTTGGCAGAAATTTGTTGTAGATAGTCGTGTAACAACCTCACGAATCAATCACGCTCTCATTAGCACCAGACACATATCATCACTGGTGGACGTAAGGTCTTACCGAGGAGATTCAGACCACTACCTCAAGATTTCTAAGATAAGGGCCAGAATACCAATGTCAAGAAGTCAACGTATTCCTTCTGTAAGCAAATTTGATACTTCTAAGCTTAAACATTAACAAATCCAAGTGAAATTCACTGAGGCTATTGATGAAAAACAAAAGGCATTAATACAAGTGCAGCACTTGAAGAAAAATGGAAAGAGTTTGAAGTAGCAATGACGGATTCAGTGAGAGAGGTAATAGGGATCGAAATAAAAACAAGAAAAAACATTGATTTGACGAAGAAAAAAATAAAGCATACAAAATGATTGTCCAAAATAACATAATAGACCCTATGTCGAGGAATATCGAGCTAGAAGAAGAGAACCTCATGTTCGCAGACGAATGAAACGGCAGTGGAAAAACAAAACCCTGGCAGATATAGAAAGTGCCTTTAAAGAGTAAAATAGTAAAACCTTCTTTCAAATGATCAAGGAAACAACCAAACATTTAAACCCCAGAATCATGTTTGCAGAGATAAGGAAGGATCTTTGATCACAAATGAAACTGTCATTATGGAGAAATGGGTTTCTCACTTCCAAACTATTCTGAATGAGGGCAAATAAAATAACCTGGATCCAATAATTCTGAGAAAGATTGATGCTGAAGACTAAATTGAACCTCCCAATGAAGAGGAAATAACATATGCTATCGAGAAACTGAAGAATAAGAAGGCACCAGTAATTGATAACATACCAGCTGAGCTGTTCATATACTGGAAGTGAAATGCTGTATGAAATTTCAGCGAATATTTGTAGAAAGGAAAGATTACTACATGAATGGAGGAAAACAGTAATTTATCCTATTCATAAGAAAGGAGATGTATATACATGCTGTAATTACAGAGAAAGTCCACTTTCCCAAGCGCTCACAAGATTTTTTCATCAATTTATTTATCTGACTCCTTCCAAATGCCGAACGCGAACTGGGAAAATATCAGTCTGGGTTTCCAAAAAAAAAAATCAACTACTGACCCAATTTCCACTCTACCCAATCTATTACAAAAAAAAGGGAATATCAGATCTCTTTGTTGATTTTCAACAAGTATATGATTCTGTTATCAGATATGAGGTCTGCAGAGCGATGGTCGAAATGAATATTCCTTTAAAACTGGTTAGTCTTATGAGGATGACGATGGAGGACAACATAAGCTTCAGAAGGATGAATGTGAAACTCTCAAGAGGATTTTCCACTGAAACGGAAGTTAGGCAAGGGTATAGTCTCGCTTGTCTAGTATTCAACCTCTCTCTAGGGAAAGCTATCAAAAACTCTGGTATCCAGACAAATGGGACCTTAATAAATAAGGTAAAACAGGTCCTTGGATACGCAGATGGTTATCAACGAGCGGAGGTTCCTCCTCCAAACACCTCAACAGGACCTGTAAATAGACAGGAAGAGATATCTTTTGACAATCAATACAACGCACTTCTAAATACCACAGGTAGAAAAAGATTAAAGTAAGTCAGAATATCGTTCCACCACGAGGTAATGGTCCACATATGATACTTATTTCATGTTTTCTTTTTCTAAGGAATCAGAAAAAAAAAGATATGTAGATGACCTAGACCTGACTGGAAGGATTCTCGACGCAATAAGACTAGCTATCGAGGCGCTAGAACATGGAGCAGCACGATTAGGGTATGTGAAGGAAAGACGAAATATCGCACTCTACCTCAACGTGAAAATGATAAGAGATACATTCTGTTGGGAAAGTATAGATTCGAAAGGGTGCAATCATTCATCTGTCTAGGAATCCAAGTGAACTCTCACTATAATATGAAGGAAGAAAAATACTCCACTCATATTTCGCCCTCCAAAAGCTGATAAAAAGTAAGGCATTATGTAGGGATGGAAAAATAAGGATTTATAAGACGCTTATCAGACCGGTCCTTAAATATGGGTCGGAATGTTGGATATTGACCAAATACCAAGAAAAGGTCCTTTTCAAATTCGAGAGTAAGAAATTGAGAAGAATTTACGGTGCTATTTGTGAAAAATGTATATGGAGAAGGAGAATAATGATGAGGACCGTATATGGAGATGTTGATGTATGCACCTTAATAGAGTTAGCAAGGCTTCGTTGGACGGGCCATGTTGCTAGGATGGAACCAGATGAGATTCAACATAAAGTTTTATCAGAGCGTGTTTATGGAACAAGAAAAGATGGACGTCCTAAGCTTCGCCGGTTGGATGGAGTGGCTACAGACGCAAGGTCCCTGCTTGCTATCCGGAACAAGAAGGTAGCTGCAGGAAATATACAGGAATGGCGATTATTTTTTTGGTATAACTTTCTTGACTGAATTTGCAAGATAATTACCAAAATCTAAAATTATCGCAGCTGATTTTTGTATTTATCATTAGCAGAAGATTCAAAAACATTTTTATTATAGTAAGACCTTGGCGGTCGTTGGCGCGAGGTACTTTCCGATGGAAAAAGAAAATTCTAGGATCCGTTGAGTTATATCCTATGAAAATACAATTTTTTCAAAATTTATTTGGAAATAACTTACCTATTTGACTCATTTCCAAACATTACACAACAAAAAATTATTTTCAGAATTCAGCAAAAACGCCTAAAATATATTTAATGATTTACAAGTTGCATGATTAATGTGACAGAAACAAGCTTTTTACTTATATTTTATTGAATATCTTTGAAACTGGTGCTTTCATTCGTGCCTAAACTTTAGGAATATGTGATTTAACTAGGTCAGACCGTAAAAACATAGAAATTTGAATTTCATAACACTTTTAAAATAGGGGTTTTTGCCACTCTCAGACCACTGTGGGGTCTTCACAGCACCTCACTGCTTATCTCTTTTTATTGAAAACTCATTATTGTCATTATATCTGTTATCCTTAATTGTGATAGTGTTATTCTGCTCAATAAAACAGTTTAAAATAAACATCTACTTGCATAGTGCCCAACTGCTGCTGATAAACAAACATTCGGCTTAGTTCCGACGTTCAAAGCTACAATATATTTATAGAAGCACTAAAACAGAGCTTATATTTAAAAAAAATAGTTTGAGAATCATCGACTTAGCTCAAAAAGTTATTCCTTGATAATTATTTTATTATTTTTCAATAATTTTCGTTTCCTTCCTGCGTGATCTTCCGATTACATTGTGGTAAAAAAAAAAAAAAAACCGAAGACAAATAGAGCTTTGAAAGTTTTCAATACTACTGGTGTTGTTAGAAACTGTAACGATGGTCTTAGTAGCACTCATTGGGTCCAGTATAGATTGTTTTGAACATTCACAGTCAAACGGATGGTATAACAGGATGAAATACAACAGCATAAAGTTGTTGGTTTTACCCGATACTCTTTTACTGAAATAAATACTACACCAACAAAGTTCGTGGCATTATTTTATAGAAAGACGAAGAAAAAAGTAATAAAAATGATGTTTCCATGTCTTCAATATTTCTGTTGAAGGGGCGTTTAAAAGAAATTTTAAAAAATTGATGTAGAGAATATAAGATTTTGAAATGGCATAAACCCTTCTATTCTGCAGATGATTAAATGAGTTTTCGATCCTTCGTAACTTTTTAATGGGTTAATTGAGAATGTTCAAAAGTGGATGTTGTTGCAAACCTTTAATTTTCGCCGAACGTCAGTCGCAGGTGTTATTTCAAAGTTTAAAAAAAATAGCAGTGTTTTAAATTATAGAAAAAATATTACTTTTTCCTTGAGCATTTAATTTTTTTATATTCCCCTGGCCATTAAAAGCACTCGGCCAGATTTAACACCAACCCTTCTAGGCTTACAATATTTAGAAAGAAATGTAAAAATATACCCGTAAATTGTAATTCGATTTTCATAAATTATAACAAATCGAATGTTTTTATTTACGAAAACTTGCATAATCTTTATTTAAGCTGTAAAGATAAAATTATGAACATCTATTCAAGTTTATTTTTCAGAAATCGGATATTAACCTAGATTGTGATACTGATCAGACTGACAAAACTGCTTCTTCATCCTATTTCGTATGGATCAGCAAATTGTAGGTGCTTGGGCCTCATTGCGTGAATAATGTCTTCTCCGTTACTGTGCCCAAGAATTCAAGTATTTTTTTCCATTTTAACTTATTAAGTAGTGACTTCCATCTTTGGACAGCATCCCATAAACTAGTATGGATGATCGCACAAAGAAAAACGCACGCATTACTAGAGGTAAGATTTTAAACTCTTTGTAATGATAGTTTCTTTGATTTAAGTTTCTACATCCAGCTATATATTTCGAGCATATACTGCACAGTGGTGGTACATATTTCTTTTTAAAGAATAGCTTTAAAAATATGAAATATTTATTATATATAATATGGAAAACATAATAAATAATATGGAAATTTCATTAGGGAAAAGTATTTTCCAAGTGGTTATAATATCCTGAGTCTCATTTACTGATTCCTTGTGTTCTACAAAAAAGACTCAAAAGATTCTCTACCATGAGACTCCTTCTATTTCTGTTTTGACACAATGATTTTCAGAAATTTTAGTACTTTGTAGTTATCAGTTGAGAATTTTTCATCTTTTTCTAATTTATCCTGCTTTGTATCTTTACCAACTCCTCTAATGTTGATAAGCTAGAAAATTTTAAAAAATGTCTCATTCTCTGCAGGATGATTAAAAAATATTCCTTTTTGATTACTGAATATTTTTCATTTATTCTAAGGTCAATTTGACCAGGAGTACCATCATACAGTTTCTTTGACTTAGGCCTTTCCAAACTCAAAACCTTTTAAATTATTTCTTAATTCAGATATTCATTTGTAACAATTATTTGAGCAGATATTTCTAATTATTATGTCTTATGTTTCCTTATAGACAGCAATCAATTGGAGCCAAATGATGCTACATCCACTGTCATCCAGGTGTTAATGTTAGTTGCATCAGGGGTTCTCACTCTAGCTGGTTTCTTATTAATTTATCACTATGCAATCGAAGGTAATAATGCCATTTGTTCAAAATATTACAAATAACCACTAAGTATTAAGTTTATCATATTTTTTAATTTTAATCATGTGACATAAAAATCACATTTATGTGGTTTAGTGATGAATAATATACCAACTTCAATTTGAATGAGTAAGATGGTGTTATTCCTTTAATAATTAATTTATATAATACGATATATCATAAATATTTTCCTGATAGGCTTAATGCATAAAATTCTTTATTTTTTAATGTACTTCAGTCTCATCACAAAGCTTATCCTGATAAACAATACTTTAAATATCAGTTCTTAAATTCATTATTTTTTCTGATAATAAATAATTTTATCCTGGGTATGTTTACAATTTTTAATTTCTCCAATATTTTTCTTAAAGATTTATTGATCTTTTTTTTCAGAATTCGAAATGGAAACTATACAGATTCCAACAGTGGGCAATCATTTTAATGATAATGAAACAATAAATTATAATCTAAACTCCATGAAAAAAAGAACAAAAAGAGAAGCAACTTCATTACAATACAAAGAAGAACTCAACAAAAGCATATTGAAATTGATGGAGGATCCAAAATGTAAAAGTGGATGTGATAAAGTTCGAAAGAAACTTCTTCGTATTGGAAAGGATTTTGGAATGTCTATTGCTCAATTGACAAATCTGAAGAAAGAAATAGAGAGTGTTGCCCTATCTTGCAGATCTGATGATGATAAGAATAAAGAATTTAAAGGAATGCCAATGGCATTTGTGTCACAGCAGGGTGATATTATTATGCCAAATATCCAAAAACCTCAGCAGACTTATCTATCAGACCAGGATTTAGCTGGAACCAATTATTTTCCTCAAAGTAACCATATGGAAAGTATTCCTCCGACAGGACCAGATTCATCAGCGACAGGTTCTGGGCCTGGTGAAGTGGTACAGACCAGCCAGCAAATGACAGTTTCGCTTCCTCAGCAGGTACATCCAGTGTGTCGCCTCGTTCCAGGGCAAGGTGGAAATGCAGGTTACATTTGTATGCCTGCACAAAATAGAGGTTCACCTAGTGCAGTTCTCCCTGAAAATTACTACTTTAAAGTTTGTAATAATTCACTTTGATGAAAATATTTATAGGAATTAGTAAATGTTAGCTGTAGGAAATAACACTTAAAATTATTTTCTATATATACTGATTTTATTTCTTTAAACAATTCTTCTAATAGTATAGGATGAGGGAGGTGGTTGGGGATGTGGTCATAAATGAGATAAACATACTGTAAAGGTTTTTTTATAAATTATAGTCGATACAGGTTAGGTCATTAAAATGTAATCATATTTATTTATAATGGTTAAATCATACTTTACATAGTTTTAAATGTTTGCAAGGAATAAAGTAAAATAGAAAAGTTACGCAAACAATAATTTATTCAATTCAAACACTAATTTATAAACAAGAGAAAATTATAATAAAAATTAACATATATTTTTGAATCGTGAAACAGGGTGGGGCAACCAGAGCCCTTTGGCGCTCACCATTTGTAAGGAATAAAAAAAAGTTACAAAGCGTATTAAAATAATTAATTTTGTGCCTACCGACAAAGCAAGTGCCTTAGAGAAATGTTTAATGTAATAAAATTCAAATGTTACATAATATAAAACAGCTGAAGAAATAAATTTATTTTACTAGGGGGATAGATGATGTCATTGCCTGGGAGCGCTGAATGTCCAAGGCTGACACGGACCGGAAGGCTGTTGTTGGCGCTGAGTCCCTAAACCATCATCCCTTATCTTTCTGCTCAATCCCATTTAAATAACTAAAATTCTTAAATTTTTCCTTCTTTTTTTTAATATACACGCCCATTTTAAACACATCCCTATTATATGTTCTTTGAATTAAAAAGTAATTGTTCTATGTGCAGGAAACTAAATTTCATCTTAAATTTATTTTTTAATATTTCGGAAAAAAATTACATTTGCACAGCACTCTTGATTTTAGATGTATTTAAATATAATGATAGTAATGGATATATCCAGCTTACAGCTATAGAAGAAATTTTAATATTTACAATTTATTGAATATAACTGCAAAAATACTGCAATATTTTACCTTATTAATGTCACCATTTTACTAAGCCCTATATAAAATCATTTCTCTTTTTATTTGGCACTACAACCCACATGGGGTCAAGGTCTCCTGTAACATCAGTCACCAGTCATTTTTTTTCAGAGCAGCTGCTTTACAGTATTGGATAAGAAGGATGGATCTTGTGTCAGCTGCCACATCATTATCTCAACTCAGTTTGGGTCTCTTAATGGACCTCCTACTGAACAGCTTTTCATTGAGGAGCTTCTTTGAAATTTTGGTCTATCAGGCATCCTAGCCAAATGGCCTGCCCAGCAGAGTTAAGTAATCTTAATAAATTTAACCATGTTGCTATCCTGAAAAGTTTCTGCAGATCTCTGGTTCTCTGTCACCATTTCTGGTTCCCACCGACTGGGTCAAACATTCTGGGAAGAATTCAGCATTCGTATCATAGTAAGACCAGCTCAATTGTTTTCAATATAGTCCAGAATTCTGAACCATAGGTCTTATTAGTGGCTTGTACAAGCGCAGTTTTGTTGTTAGGAAAAACAATTAGCTTTTCATGTGTCTCTGAAGTCCAAAATAGCAGCTATTGGACACGATTATTCTTCGGTCTATCTCAGGTTGCATGTTATTGTTGGAGTTTACCAAAGTACCCAGGTTAACAAATTTTTCTACCCATTGGAAGATAAACTCTCCCAGCCAAATGATTGTATCTGCCCTTGTTTCACCTCGCACACCCACCTTCATATACTTGGACTTGGTTTAGTTTATAGTGAGGCGAAGCCTTGCTGCATCTTTTTCTAGGTCAAGCAAGGCATCCCTCATGACTACAAATGATCTACCTATGATGCCAAGGTCATCAGCAAAGCCCAGTAACTGCATTGATCTATTTAAAATAGTTCCTCCCACTTATACATGAGATCTTACTGCAATATCCAAGGTAAGGTTAAGCAGAAGGCGTGCTAGGCAGTCACCTTGTCTTAAACCTTTTTGTGTTATGAAGTACTCAGACCTTTCTCTCTGTAGTCTCTGTAATCTCTATAAGGATTTCTTACTCATGATATTCTAGCTCTTAAGTGGGCCATAGTGAGGTAATGATCCAAATCTATATGCACTCCTCTGTACACCCTTACATCCATTAAGATTGATACATGTTGAGTTCTAGTCCTCACATGGTTGATTTGGCTTGTCGTTATACAATCATTAGAGCGCCATATTGCTAAATGTATTCTTTTATGGGGGAACAAAGTACTTCTATTAGCAAGTATCTTGGAAACAGAGAAATTTATTAACCTTTGACTTTTTTCATTTTAGGTGTTGTGTATACTGTGTATTCCAATATTTGGTCTGAAATTTTGCTTCTTGCCAATCTATGCATTGAAGTGTCCTAACAAGACTTTTATGTCTGCTCTAGGGCAGTCATCACACATCTTTCAAGGGTACTAAAGAAGGCTAATGACATGTTTTTCACACAATAGCCTGCTCGACTATCCAGCACCCACCTTCAGTCCAATGGTGTGTACTGTGAGAGACCTTGATCTGTGATGTTGGGGTGATCGTAGTGCGCTGTTTGCAGTGTAGATATGTGAGTGTCAGTGTACTGTTCCCTCAACCTGGAGGGTCAGTGGCTATCTGCGATACTATGACAGAGTGATGGAACCACCAACTCACTGCGTCAAGTATAAAATCTCTAGTACTATCAATGTAAATTTATACAAAATATTAATCATTACACTTATATATTATAACAATATGATCCTTTCATAATTCATCATCTTTTGTTTGTTCTTGCTATATTTCTACTGAACACTTACATAATTTTCATATTATACTGACTTTATACATATCACCTGATTTCCATGTTATCATATAATTTTATAACCCATTCACCTTTTATCTCTTCCCTGTCATTATATAATTTTTATTAATCAATATCTTTTTTCACATATACCATCGCCTTAACTTATTAAGTTTAACATGTTCATTATATTAGTAGTCCACCTTTTAATCTATTAAAACGAATACCCTATCAACGAATTACGTCCCACTTTATCTCTATAACCATCTTTGTTAGTTACTGTTTTCCTCTCTCAACTATTTATATCATTGGCACTTCTGAACTCATCAGATAAGCCGGTACATAACATTAATTAACATCAGCCTTTATCTCTCTCTGCAATACCATAGCCAAATTTTCTCTTTTACTCCATGTTTTCTATCCTTCACTTTTTTCGATACTAGTTCACAAGAATTCTCCACGGATTATGTATGGTTCACAATCACTTCGGTCACACTTGTTCATGGAGTGCCAAATGCGTTCGGGTTTATCCGAAAGAGAACGAAGTTTACCAATCTCTTGAATCAGTTACTATTAGCTTTCCCGCCATTTAAGTACTTCTACAACCTTTACCATGTTAAGTTATATTGCAGGAGCCAACTTACATTCGAAATTTAGTATGTCTAAGAACAGGCCTTGAAGAAACGACTCAAACAATATTTTATATAGAATATTTAATAGTTGACAGTTGCATTATAAAGGAAGGAGATGGTCCGGGGTGGCGGTCATAAATATTACCCCTAAATAGTTTTGCCACTATTTAGCCTAAGACCCATCTCCTTCCTTTATAATATGTTGTATATTTTTTTCTTTTTCTTTCACAGTAATAACTGTTATCATAAAAATTAGCAATTAACAAATTAGTAAATACACAATTTGTTAATAAATTGTTAATAAGGAAGTTCCATGAAGGGAATATGCTTTTTTGTTTTTTTCCAAAAATGCATGAAAAGGGATTGTGTGATGGGGCAATAGCTGACATCATAAAAGATGACAACATTTCGGGATTATATGAACAAGTGTGATCGAATTGATTGTGAACCACTCTTAATCCATGCGAAACTCTTGTGAACTAGTGCCCTTTTTTCTTTTTTATATTGTGATATCAACTTGCAGCTATCACTGCATCCTATTGTTTTATATTTACTATTTAATATTATATTTCATTACTGATACTTTATAACTTATTATATTTTTATATATCTTACATATTTCATTCATTTCTAATTATTTTTATTTTTTACTCACATATTCTAGTCAAATCAAACAAAACTTTTCATTTGTGTCTTTGTATTTATCATTTATATTGTATATTCTCCATTATCTTCTTATATTATTTTTATTTTAAATTAAATATGTCCCACATACTTTTAATCTGTATTATCATCATATACAATACGTATATATTTTAGCTTACCTTACATAATGTAGGTTTTTATTCATATATCATTACTTTATTGTAATTTTCTTAATTTACATATAGACCTTTGATTCACCACTGCTATTTTTGCAGTTCCTTTCTTTATCTTCTTGCAATATTATTTTTCTTATTCTTCCTTACTGGTTGTTATCTTGTTTTTACTTAGCTATGATGGTCTAAAACTCAGGCCAAAACGTTGAGAGACAGTAAAATGAGACTCCTTATTGTTTGTTATCTCATCCATGACTATAAGTTCCAACCAACTTCTACAATCTGTTCAAAGTCAGTAATATTTTTACCAATCGTTTAAATAACTTCATTGTTTTATGCTTTAAATTTATGATGCTGAGATTTTTTTTATTTAATTATTTGTTTATATTTTGATTTCCACAAAATTGTTTCTTAAATTAATACTTGGTAAGAGGATTTTCAATTCTCATAAATTGAATATTATCATTTGACTTTTTTAAAAATTCTTCATTCCCTGTCTGGCCATTTCTGGCATTTTATAGTTATAACCAACTCTATTCGAATTAGAGTGGAAATCTTAAGATTCATTCAGTTGGTCCACCAGAAAATAAATTTCACTTGAAGCTGCTAAGGTGATAATTCAACACTCTTGACCATCACGGCCTCCATTTAATATAGTTGACTAATAATAATACTTTTAAGTTATTATTATAAAATGTATAGACTGTGCCTATCATCTGCAGATTAATCCTGACGCAAGAGCTCCTGAAGTTCATGTACCAACAGCAATTTCAACCCAAAATCCATATGCCTTTCCAACACTTTCTGGATCACCTGTAATTTCGCCAGTGTCAGCTCCTGGGTCAAACCAGTTAGTTCCAGTTTTTAACCCTTTGACTGGGAGAGTCTCATTTCTAAATTTTGGACAGGTATTTGTTAGCTTGTTTATCATTGCAAACAATGGATATAAAATTAGTTTTTTGTTTTTTTTTATGTTTTGATACTTGTAAATTAATTTAATTTTCCGTTACTTTATGACATTGATTCTCATTACTTTATGACATTAATTCTTCCCTTACTTGATTCTCCAATATAAACAATGTATCTGTTAGCTATTGACAATTCTTGATTTCTACTTTTATTTTTCTTATTTTTAAAATAATAGCAAGTACATTTTGTTATAAGCAACCAGATAAAACAAAGTTAACACAATTTTATGTGCACAATGTTAACAATTTACATCGAATTATGTTGAGAACTTTAGTCACTCAAAGAACATCTAGCTTTCAAAGGAGAGTTTGTGGTTAAAGTCAGAGTAAAACATCATGGTGTGACAGGTGGATTAGTGGTGCTTAGTATGATTTAAAAGTATTATAATCGTTAAAAAAAATAAAATATCCTTTCTCCTTGTTAAGTTTTCAAGAAAAGACTAATAAGAAGATACAAAACCAGTGTTGTAACTTGAAAAATGTAGTACTGCCAATATAACACAAATAAAGATCCCTTTGATCACACAGACCCACTTGTCACATCTATTATCAGAGCTAGAACGGAACAATTTTGTTAACAACTAGGTCAATGAATGGGAAAACATTAAAGCCCAGTTATATTTTAAGAATATCACATAGTCATTATATAATTTATATTTAAAACTAACAAAGATTTATGTCAGGGCAGTGTAAACAGCCGACCAAACTACTCAATAGTGAATCAAAATGATTTTGCTTCTCATATGCAACAGCCATTGGTTCCTCAGTACACAGTGTTGAATCAGCAGTATTTAGCACCTCAGCCTCAATTCAGACCACAGTCACAGCTGACAGCGCAGTTAGCAAATCCACAGTTTTCCCCAATATTATTACCAGTACCTTATCAACCTCAACTGCCCATTCAACACCAACCTGTTCAAGCTGTATCCACTTCGTCACTAATAATGCCATCAATATACCAGCCACAAACTTCACCCCAGTAAGTAGTCAAAGTAGTTAGAGTTTTTCTTTTAGCAATAAAATTAATCTAGTTGAATTTTGTCATTTATTTCCAGGTTTTATATTCCACAACCATCTGTGACTCAAACTCAATTAGGACCTACAGGAATGTCCAGTCCAATGATGCAGTGTTCATATGTTGTGGTTCCTAACTCTCCCGTTCAAACATATCAATTTCCTACTGTAACAGGGGTTAAGGAAACTTTACGAAGATATGAAGAGCCCAAAGTAATCCAAGTTAAGCATCCAGATGATAAAAACAAAACAGCAGTAAAATCACTACTTTATGGTAAGTTATTGAAACTATTTTTTTTTTTTTTTGAACAACTAGACAAGTTCCCAGATGGCTTCAGCCCAGCCAACTGCCGAGATTGACATTAATTTGAACTGCAACGTACAATAAACTTTTGTTAAACTTCCTGAATTACTTTAAATCATGATTATTCAACAGCTTTTAAGAACTAAACTAGAGCCATAATGTTTTATATATATATATCTGTTAAATAACCATGATTTAAAGTAATTCAGAAAGTTTAACAAAAGATTATATATATATATATATATATATATATATATATATATATATATATATATATATATATATATATATATAGCTGTTAAATAACCATGATTTAAATTAATTCAGAAAGTTTAACAAAAGATATATATATATAATAAACAGATATATATATATATATATATATATATATATATAAACAGATATATATATATATATATATATATATTACGACTGAGCTTCATGCCAGAAACTGGAAAGCAGTAGCCCAAGATAGACAGAGGTGGAGAAGGCTGGTTCAGGCAGCCAAAGATCTACAAGGTCTGTAGAGCCTCCGGAAAAAAAAAAACTGTTTAATCTGTATTATCCTCCTTAAAAAAATCCTGGCTTTATCCTTGATTAGCATCAGTTACTCATTTTAGAATAGATTGGACTCAAAAAGTATTATTCAAACCTATTTTTTTCTCTTAATTACTTGTCCTCATGTTTAAGTATCTGAATTAATTGGTGGATAAGCTAATTTTACATTGAACTCATTGCACTGTATATTTTTATTGAAGACTACAAACCAGAGTTATTTTCATCAATTTTTTTGACAGATGGCAACTGTATACCAGGGATGATAGCTTGTGAAAATGAACAAAAATGTATAAAAGAGGAAAGCTGGTGTGATTCCAACATTGACTGTGTGGACGTCTCTGATGAGTCTAAATGTACTTGCAAAGATAGAATTCATGAAGAAAAAATGTGTGATGGATATTTCGACTGTCCACAGGGTGAAGATGAACTAGAATGTTTTGGTAAATTATCAATTTACTGTTGTTATATATTAGTTTCTTAAAATATTTATTTTTCCTTAGAAAATACTAATGAATGTAAAATAACACAATAGAAAATATTGTTATTTTTATCTCAACCAATGTTTAATTGTGTCACAATTAGGGTAATGTGTTGAATCTGCATCCTTTATTTGTTAATTTGTAAAAATAAAAAATAAAAAAAATAAAACCTGTACCACTACTACCCATGAAGGGTCTTGGGTGCAGTACTATTTAGAGAAAGTACTGTTTCAAGGCCAAGGTTGTGTAAAGAGGAGATCGGGATAGAATCATGCTCGACCCCCTTAATTAATTATTTAATTAAGGGTACCCACTTTGTAGAGGCTGGATGTGACCCAGTGGGTCTCCCTACCCCAGGATCGCCCCACGGCTAATGAAACAGAATAAATAATTTTTCTGCCATGCGCCGGGATTCGAACCTGGGACCTTCAGCATTTGAAGCTTAGTGCCCTACCACTGAGCTACCCCACTCCCTTTTAACACGATAGAAAATATTGTTATTTTTATCTCAACCGATGTTAGGATGGTATGTAATCCCAAAACTAGGTAGCAGATATGACTAAGGATTTTTAAAGGAAACAGTTCTAAAGAAGGAATAAATAAATTTGAGGATTGAGATCTCCTGTTGAACGAATAAACAGAGGAACAAGGAGTAAAGAAATCAAAAAGGGTTTTTTGTTGTAAAGGTTCAGAAAAGGAATATACCAGAGAAATATTGCCATAGGAAAACTGAATAGAGCCACTTCAACTCGGCATAGGAACTGGAGAGGTAGGAGCGCCTGGTATAGTATAAATCTAATGAAACAATTTATTAGTCTCTGATCTCAAGCCCACCAGACAGTCCACCGTATACAAGGCAGTCATAATCAAAGTGAGGGAAAATGAAAATGAATCTTGTGATGTGAATGGGCCTCAATATTTAGTATTATATACTTTCATAAAATTACTTGCTTTCAAAGCTCACTTTTAACGTTCGAGAGAAGTATGTGGTCAATTACACTGAACAACTTAAGTTTCGGCACTTTAGAATGATTTGATAAATTTGTACCGAAATGTTTTTTCAAAGGTTTCTTCCACCACTTTAGACCTAGATTTCATAGAGGTGAACCAGTATCCCTATTCAAAAAAGAGGAAACCAACAGTTCTTAAGGAAGGCTCAGGTGATTTTTATAAAACTAGGTACAAATGCTCCTGAAATAAATATAATGGAGATATATTAGCGCTTTCCCATTAACCATCTAGAGTAGAGATGGGTAAAATGGCAGTTGGAGAGATAGAATAAATAGAATTTTTTAAGACTATTTATTTAGATTTTTTATGTAAAGTTAAAAAAAATTTATTATACTCAATGGGTATTATAAATAGATCTGAATGTTTTATTTGTGTAGTTATTTAAAAAGTTTTTACTATCTAAAATGTTTTTTAGAAATCAAATAAATATAATTTTATTATTTATGACTTGTTATTCAGGTTGCAGCAGGGATAAGTTTAGCTGCAATGATGTTGGTTCAGAAGAAGAAGCAGTATCTTGCCTTCCTTTAGAACATCGCTGTGACGGGATCAAGGATTGCCCAAATGGTAGAGATGAAACTGATTGCTTGATAATAACGGAAGAAGAACAAGCACATATGGTATTAAAATATTTTCTACTATATTATATACCTAATATCCCTTGATTAACAAATATAATTTGGATTTACAACCCGTAGGTAATGATCATTTACTTATATATATATATATATATATATATATATATATATATATATATATATATATATATATATATATATATATATATATATATATATATGTATATAATTAGATATATATCTTTCAGTAGTTAATATGTCTTTCGTGTTTTTTATATTATACCATAACCTTAATACACAAACACTTTATTTTATATTATTTTATTCGGTTTTTACCTTTTAACTACTTCCAACTAACTGATTTGTTTAATTGTTTTTAAAATATTATATTATAAATAATTATATAATCTTTAACTTATACTTTTAGACAAACATTATTTTGTGGAGACTATGTTGCTATGACCAATTGGCATAACTCATATAGTTACATTCTTTTTTATTTAACCTCCTTTTATATGATTTTTCCTTCACTATTTGTAGATGGAGAGCAACTTGTTCTACTCATTTCTAGCTAAAGATGCTTTTCATCATCCATATTAGGGTCATGTCATCTAATAGCTCCCATTTTCAAAGATCCACAAAAAGACTATGGTAACCAGAAGGAGCTTTTAGGTATCAAAAATGTGACAAAATGACATTGCTAAATAACTTCAAAGATGCAAAACTTTAAAAGCATTTTCTGCTCTAACAGCATCCTTATTCTTGAGTTATACTTTCCAACTACTTGGTACATTCCTGTCTGGTGATCTTCTAATCATTTCTATGGTTTATTGAATAACTGCATTTATGTATCATGTGCTATTTTTTTAAATTGTATTTTGCATTGTTGATCATCAGACCAGCCTTATAATTTTGACAAATATACATGAGATGTTTTGTTTCATAATGGAAAGAAGTTTTGTGGAGTTGATGTTACTATGTTACTATCAAACAGTTGTTTGATTTAATTTACACTTTGAAGTTTATTCATACCTGGCACCTAGTTATAAAATAACATATTCAATATTTTAACCCCTCTACATCCAGTCCTAATGCACTTTAATCTTTTTAATTGGCTAATAACCATTGACCAAGCTTATTAAATTCTGCGACATCCAATTTTTGGGGCATACAATATAAGTAAATAATGATTTTAATAAGTGTATATAAAATAATTTAGACAAAAATATTTTAAATGTTGTATATATTTTTTTAGTTAATAGTGACCTGTTCATGATAGAACCTATAAAAATTTAATTGTATTATTTTATGTTGCTAAATAGGGAGAAAGATTCTCCGAAATGTCCAATAATAAATAGTGATAAAAAACTAATTTGATTATTAATTAAATTGACCAAAAGGCACATAGGTGTAAAAAAGAAATTTATAATAAATGTCAAAATTGAAAAATGAAATATCTTTTTTTTTTACATCAATATCATATTATTTTTAGGTCCCAACAGTCTCTTACTCAAATGGATTCTTGTACAGAAACTGGAAAGGAACCTGGTATCATGTTTGCAGTGCATTGAATTGGCAGTATCAAGCTTGTTCAGCAGAATTTGGTTCTCTTCAAAGGTATTTAATAAAACACTGTTGGATTGCTTGAGCTATTAGATTTTTTTTTTTATAAGTTTCCTGTAATATAAAATAGGTATATAAAAGAAACTGTGTCTGATCAGGCCGGAATAGTTCAAAATTATTGTGAATTATTTAAATCTTGGCTATTGAGCAGCAGTTTAACTTAAATAAAGGAGCCCTTTGATATATACCATATTTATTTTTTGCCATTTGATAAAAGAATATGTGTTATAGTAATTTATAACGGTGATTGATCATTTCTACTGCAAAATGTTTGTTCCTTTGTAATAATTTTATTGTTTAAATAACTGTTGAAGATATATATATATGTTCATTTGCAGGTCACCTCAAGAGAGTTACATTACTCTTAATGAACACCCTCCTTTGTTAGTGAATGAGAAAGAATCAGATATTGAATTAGTCCACCTCTGTCCAGGTGCTGAAGGAGCAGCATTATGGGTCGAATGTCCAATGCCTGAATGTGGAATGAAAACTGTATCCTTCCATTTAAATAGAAATAAGAGATCCTATTCTTTTTCACATAGACAATACTGGGAAGATCCACATCCTGGCGAAGAAGAACCTCAGTTTAGATCAGCTAATGAAGCTCACGATTTTATCAAGGATTTTTTCAATTCTATATCAATTTTTGATAAAAAGAAATATTATAAACGATTTTGGGGCCCTCTAGTTCAGCCATATTTGGGTGTAAAAGATATAAATGATAAGGGAAAAGAGAAAAAAGATGCTTCAGAAACAGATCCTGCTCAAGATTCCTGGAGGTATCAGCACCCCAACATCTTCGATGGCTTTCCATATTACTCTAAAAATGGGAGAAGTGAGCAGATGGCATCCTCAAGCATTGGCTCTTACCAACTTCCTCCTGCTTATTATGGTTCTCTTCATAATTTTGAAACACAAGGACTTTCTCCCCAATATGCAGAAGAGCCTTATAATGATATCAATGATATTGAACACTCTCCAGTCGATATGAGCAATCCATATTATCTTAATAATTACTTCTCACAATTATTTTATCCTCACAATGATGAAAATAATTACCCGTATGATAACTATGGTGAAATTATGGAATATCAAGACATTGATTACCAAAATCAACCATCAGACTATTATCCCAATCATCATCTTCCACCTTTTGGTTTTGAATATGAAGAAGGTAATATCTAAAATTTACTGTTATATTTATTTTCTTTAAATTCATATAAGAATCTCAAATTATTTGGAACATTGTTACTCAATAATATGAACAAAAATACCTCTAATTTAGAACTTCAGAATTGTGTAATATATTTTAGAAATTTAATTTTATCATTAATACTTAATTTACAGAACTCCTTCATTTCAAGAATTTCAAGTTTTCTTACAAACAAAAATTTTATTTTATTTTTAAATTGATTCAAGTATATATTCAACGATTCTTGTTCTTCATACTGGCCTCATACATGCTCTTGGTGTACAAGTTTTGGAATAAATGTAATAAAATAAAATATAGAAAGTGGAATTTAGCCTTTGTTTCTCTTGTTCATTGTTTCAGAGGAAAGAAAAATATTATCAAAATTAGGAAAGTGAAAATGTACTGAATCTTTCCTTATCTTGTTAGTAAGTAGTTTAGAAATAAGTAATATTAAAAAATAAGTCGTATAAATAGATAATAAAGAGTTTGAGTGATTGTGGGCCAGTAAAATAAGAATTTTTGGTGGCAGTATTACACTGAAGATGAATAATTTTTATTGAGAAATAACTCTAAAATGAAACTTTTTAAGATAAACTCAATTTAAACAATTAAAGAATATTTAATTCTTCGTTGAATGTGGACCTAAATATTTGACACAGAAATATGATATACTGATAATCTAATATTAATGATATAAAGTGTTGTAAAACTTTAAATCTCAACATTTTTAATTTCCATAAAACAGTAATTTAGATTTGATATTCGTAATCTTCCTTGTGTTTCTTATGTATTTCTTAAAACATTTAAGATTGAATAATTAGTTCCTACAGACTGTTGTTTGACATTAGTATGGATGGAATACTCCACGGTTTTTACAATTTATTTCAAACTGATTATAATAGGAAAAGTGATTAGTTGGGTCCTGCAACTATTTTCTTAAATTTTCATTCCTTTGAATTTTCATTAATAGCATCCCGATCAAAAATTTTGCATTGCAACATCTTTTTTATTTATTTAAGATTATAAAATATTTTTAAGGAAATTTAGATGTTCAAGTTTTGTCCGTATTATGCTATAATAATTTTAAAACAGAAAAATGTATGTTTTATTTTATTTATTTCAGATAATAGAACGAAAAGAGAACAAGAAGCTAGAGTTGTAGGAGGGAGGCAGAGTGAACCTGGATCTTGGCCTTGGCTTGTAGTTATATATAAGGATGGAAATTTTCACTGTGGAGGAACAATCCTTAAACCACAGGTGATACTTACCGCTGCACACTGTATGGAAAAGTAAATACATATATGTTATGTGTGATTAAATTTTTTAAATTTTATTTTCATAATTACCTGTATTCTACTTTACACTGTATTCTATTTTAGCTCTTGATATTTTTTTTATTTCACTAAATGTTCTAATTTGCTAAGTTACTGCAGAGGTCTTTGTTCCTAAAAATATTACTGGCTTTAAAACAACCCATTAATTCCTTACTTTTCTCATTTTATAATTCAGTTTACCAGGAGTGACATCTAATAATTCTTAATTTAAAAAAAAAAGTTTTAATTACAAGAAAAGTAAAAAATATTTTTTCAAATTACCCCTATCTCTAGTTACACATTTTCTCCATCTCTCTGGCAATTTGTGAATTCCCTCCTAGAAAAACCATACATCTTTTTAGGTGGTCCAGTAATCAGGCCATTTTTCGACAGCTACACAATTGTTCATGAAACATTGATGAAAACAAGTAATAGTCAGAAGGGCCCTAGTCTTGTGAAGATTTCACAGCCAAGTATAGAAAGCAGCACGTCTGCAGGATGCTTTAACTTCTTTCGCTGTTTGTGGTGTGGTGCTGTCATACTGTAAAATTACTTTTTCGTGTCTTGTAGCCCATTTTGATCACTTCATCAATTCATGGTTTGAATTGATCATTTTTTGGCACTATCGAATGGTATCAACCAGTTCACCTGATTTCAAAAGCTCATAGTACATGGCACTCTTCTGATCCCACTAAATGCATAGGATTATCTGCATTCCAAAGTGGTTTGTTCGTGTGGTCATTTTGATGATTTTTTCTGGGTCAACCCATGATTTTCTGAGTTTTTGGGTTTTTAGAAATATATCTATCTTTCTTTCTATCATCCCCAGTCACAATTTGATGCAAACAAAGTCTTTCTTTTAGCTCTAGAAAACAAAACTTGACAAATTGTTTTTTGCTTTTTCATCTGTCTGTCATTCAGCTGATGTGGTACCCATTTTCCTGCTGTCTGGACCTTTACTGTGGTGTTTAGATGATCATAAATGGTTCCATTACCGACATTTAACCTCTCTACCATTTTTTGTTGAGTTTGCATATTGTCTTCGTCCAACAATGTTTGCTTATCTACATCTTGAATTTTTTTGGTTGATCTGAGTTTTCTTTGATTTTCAAGTTGAAATCACCACTTTTTAATCATCTAAACCAACGAACACAAGAGTTATGCATTGTAATTTTAAGTTCCCAAAAATATATGATGGCTTTCCCTCATGTTTTTCTTTTGATTACACAAGGAAACCAGTATATGCTGCAATTTCTCTTTATTTTTACTTTATTTGAAACTCGACATATGTACTACAAAAAATAATACAGGAGACTAACCCGAAATTGTGTGAACATCGATAAAAGGTATGGTCAAAGTAACAAAATAACATGAGAGGTAAAACTGTTAACCAATCTTTGTTTTCAGAGTCATCTCTTAGAATAATGAAGAATTATTAACCACCATATCTAGTATGATATATATAATGTCTAATCTTTTATATTTGATTACGTACAATCACTCCTATTTCAGTGCTTTCAAGAGAAATTCCAAAGGAAAATAGCGATTCATGTTTCTTTTTTCTTAATATATTTTTGTTACTTTTTAGATTGATAAATATTAGCCAATGACCCTAGGGCCAAGTTAATTTAAAAAAAAATACAATTTCAATATTGGAATTGGTAACATGGATTTCTATGTTATTAAGAAGAAGAAAAGTAAATTTACTAATATGCGGTCCAAGTAGTAATATTGTTTATATCTTCTTGTAGTCTTTGGATCACCTCAAGCACCTCAGTAGGATAAAAAGAAAGGTAGATTTGGAGATAGTCAGCATATAAGTGGTATTGTGAATGATGGATGGAATCAGGAAGGTCGTTGACATATATGGAAAAAAGAGTTAGAGAGAGCGAAGATCTCAGAGGAACACCATGCATTAGTGAAAGGAGGGAGGAAGGAGTTTCATCACTGGGATCTGTGATGCAAAAAGAAACAGAACCATTTTCAAATCCTGTTTATGGAGAAATGAAGGTGTTGGATGATTTACAACAAAGCAGATTGGGCGTTTATTATAGACGAATCTATTTGGGTGGGGGGAAGTGGCTGAACAGGCTAAAGTGTGTGCAGAACACCGCCGTTGCAGGCAACCTGCTAATTGATAAAAATAGTCACGAGTTCATGTCCCGGTGCCAGAGGAGTCTTTTAAATCCCCGCCCTCATTCTCTGGCCCAGGAAAAATCCCATATAGTCTTAAAGGCGAGGAAGGGAATGACAAAAAAAAAAAAAAAAAAAAGGAAGACCAATACCATTTGTTTTTTGTTGTTTTTTCTGAGAGAAACGAGAAGAAAGTTTGCTTATTGTATTAAATTATTATTTAATTAAGTATTCGAATACATGTTGGATGTTATAAAAACCAAAAGACGCTTTTAGAAAGGTAGATCAAATAAATTTTTGTCATGAAAAATTAAAATCAGAATCATTCCCCCGGAGTCTTTTGAAATTCTTAAATACAGTTTGTGTTTACATAAAAAAAAAAACATAAATTTTTGGACTTGATTTTATTGGAGGGATTTTTTTCCTGAAGTTCACTAAAGCATTCATAGTTAGCTCCTCAGGATATCCTCCTGATCCGAGGTCCCTAAAACCATTGGAAAGCTGGATTACTGTTCTACCAACCCATACCAATAACTTTTATATTACAGGTCCTTTATTGGGAAATTATAAATAAAAACTGCTCAAAAGTTTTTATTTTATTTTTCTAATTTGAATTTGTTTACATAAGCCAGATATGTGCTATTTTATTTAGTTTAAACAGCACTTCCACTAAGTTTTGTGTGGATAAGTTCAGTCATGTTAAACTTATGACGATTTATGTGGTTGAAAAAAATACAATGAAGCACCAAGGTAGGCAAAAACTTTGACCAAAAAATGGAATATCCCTGAATTGTAGATATTATACATAATATACATATTTGGATCATCTGAAATATTATTTTATCATGAAACTAAGTTGATATTTGGTTTTACACCTAGAAAAACCATTGAATAAGAATTTTCATGGCTATTGCAAAATAAAACATTTTTGCTCAAAATCATTGCCTTCAATTCAAATGGCTAATGAGAATAATAATAAGGGATCAGAATTTGTATAATGAGTTTCATATTATTAAGAAATCCTTAAAAAAATATTTTTTTTATTACAATGAAGATAATTATTTTATTTTATTGTAATTAATAAACATGTTAACCCTTTATAGTAAAGAATCACTTTTGTTTGATTTTCAAAATAAAAATCAGTGACACAATTTCAGGAACACCAATTGAGCATAAAAAGAAAAAAAATATTTAAAGTATACGAATAAAGTTAAGTAACAGTTTACTCTCCCAAAAAAATTTTCTTTATTTTTATGACGTTTCGGGATCACTTTATTATTCCATCTTCAGACCGTATCTCATCTTTCTATCATCTAATTTTTTTTTTTTAAATTAAAGAATTTTCATAAAAAATGATCTTGAGAAAGAGACTGTAATAAGTATTAGTAGAAAAAGGCCTTTTCAGTCTCGATAAATAAATGCTTTATTTCAAATGTTTGCCTCTTCAGGCATAATCTGATTTTACATGTAATTTAAATTTTTATCTGAAAAACAACAATTGCTAATTACAACTATGTGGTATAAAATATTAAAGAAAATAGATAAACCCATAAAACTTAATGATTAAAATAAGGATAGTCCACTGTTTCCTAGATATAAACCTTTAACATATATAAAACACCTTTCAGAATCTCTTACAAAAACATTTTTGGAATACAATACTGATGAAATCAAAATAGCACACCGAATCTCAAATAAGCTCCACAACAATTTGACAGCTCTTAAAGATAAAGTAATTACTAACCAAAATTATAATTTTATCTATGAAATAAAATGTCTACATTGTCCGAATTCTTATGTAGGGATGACAACTCAAAACCTCAATGATAGACTTTACCAACATAAAAATTCATGTACTGATTATATAGACAAAAATAAATGAAAAAAGAGCCTAAAACAGCTTTAGCCAAACATGTATCTGACTAAAAACATAAATTTAACTTTGAGAAACCGATAATCCTCCATCGAGATAATTCTGTACAAACATTAAAATACTTGGAGGCACTTTATATATCAGAGAGCCTTGATAGGGTGATAAATTTTTAAATTGATTCAAAAAATTAATTTTTTTTTTTCTGAAACTCTAAATATCATGATCAAACAATAATATTAATAGACGTCTGATTAGGGTATTTCTTAATCTATAAGCTGATAAAATGAAAATAAAAATTTTATTGTTACAGAATTAAAAAAATAAAATAAATAATGTAATTTTGAAAAATATATATTACAAAACGTATATAGGTATGTGCGGGCAGATTTTTGTGTGTGTTTATATATATATATATATATATATATATATATATATATATATATATAATATATATATATATATATATATATATATATATATGTATTTTAACTGTAAATAAACTAATGTTTGATAATTGATAGATTTAAATAATTTATATTAAAATAATAATATATCCTGGTTTCAATTTTAGTCACATAATATTTAATTTAACAAAAAATACGTCTTCCTGTGTATTCCTTTATTTTTCACTTTTGCGGAACCTGTTTCGGTATTTTATCAGACCTTCATCAAGCTAGGTAAAATAATGAAATTAACAACAACAATAAAAACTTGTGTATATTAATAATATTAAATCCTCTGAAAGATTTTGTATATATTTTTTCAGATGAAAATTTAAATTACATGTAATATCAGATCATCCCTGAGGACGCCTGAAGAGGTGAAAATTTGGATAAATTTGAAATAAAGCAATAATTTATCGAGAATGAAAAGGCCTTTTTCTACTAAAAAGAATTTTCATAATTTTTATTTTTTTATAAATCATCCCTTAGTTATATTGCGGACTCCTCTAGGGATAGCCTAGTCAGACACTGAAAAAAAAATTTTTTTTAAATAATTATGCTAGCAGATATGGATCATTAAATGAATCACTGTTCTACCCCTTTTAGATAACCTATGTATGATTAGGCCAAAATATTAGCTCACAGAATAAATATGACCTAAGGCATTATTTTATTTTATTTTTTTATGGTGACTCTACAATCCATTGATCTCCTGCAATAAATAATAATCAATCATTTAACACTCCTAATTAAATATCTTTTATATTTTTGAATTAAGGACTTTTTTAAACTTAACTTAACTTAAGAATGATGTTATTTTAAGCCAATTATTATAGTTTTCAGAATCATTATTATGAGGTTCATGCTGGAATACTTCGAAGAATGTCTTATTCACCTCAACTGCAGATCCGAAAAGTAACTGAAGTCATCATTCATGAAGATTATGACAAGTAACCTATCATATTTAATAATTATTAAGTTAAATTATATTATTTTACTACTTAGCAATGTTTAATAAATCACTGAATTATACATTTTATTTTATATTTCAGAACTTAAAGGTACTTAATGGAACAATGCATTATTTTTTTCTAATAAAATATAACTGTTATTATTAAAAATTGATCATAAACACTCAATTCATTTTCATAGTTTCTTTGGTAGTTCTTAAAGAAATGACATTGAGAAAAATAAAATCTATAGTGTGTGCTTCAGACCATACGATAGAAGTGAAAACATCAACAAGGCAGGCCTTATAATATGAATTATAAATATTTTGTGTTCTATATTCAAAAAGTAATAACATTTACAATTTATACAATTATAATTGTGTCTAGATTACTCTAGTAAACTTTGCTACGACTGAACATACTAAGTCAGTATCATACTCTAAAAATGAAACAAGGTTATGATAAACTAAAATATGTGATGATCGTATATTCTCATTATTTTTGTATGATTCATGCTTTTTAGTTTCTGAAATATTTTAATTCATATTCCCTCCCAGAAAAACCATAAAATATTTTAATTTCTATACAAAAACCCATCAATTAATTGACTCCAACCGACTTTACCTATCGGTAAAGCGTTACACATCGGAAATTTGACTGTTATATAATTCACTCTCCACAAAAAAAGTGCAAAATGTGCGTTAAGAAGTTTTCACTTACAAAAAATCCAACACTTATAATTTGCTCACAAATCATAGATCTACTTTTGATTTATAAATAAAGAGTGTTTGTTTGAGTCACAAAAAATAAATAAAGAGTGTTTGTATTTTATATTGAAACTTGCCAAGTCTGAGAAAACTATTTTAAAAAATGGAATTAAAACTTAAGAAAGATAAAAATTAAGGAAATTTCTTTTCTCAGTTCTGAAAAGAAGAAAAAAGTATAAAGAGAAACAGTATGGGTATCACATTTCATTTTACCATTTGTTTCTTTTTCAATTATTATTTTTTTTTCTATGATGAATAAATGTGGGTATAAATACCAACACAATAAATAAGAAATGCAATATTTCGTTTTAATTAACTTTGAAGATTTTTTATCATTAAATTAAGAATATACTTTGAACATTATTTATCATGAAATAGATTAACAACTCTGTTGTCAATTTCTAGGACCAAACTGAGTAGTGACATTGCCTTAATAGGACTTTCTTCCAAGCTGAAGTTTAATCGTTGGGTGCTTCCAGCATGCTTGCCACCGCCTGATCCTATTCTTCCACCTGCTGGAATTATGTGTACTGCTATTGGTTGGGGAGCTATTTATGAACATGGACCTGACCGTGAGTATTTATTTATATGCTGGGTAAATTGCAACCCAATAATTCCAAGTTAGTTTAACAATAATTCAATGTGGGCTGAAAGTTGTTTTGATTTTAATTACAATGTAATTACTGAAAGAAATTTCAGAGAAGGCTTGAACCTTGAACACTTATTCTCTCTATATTTATATGTTCTTACTTTATATTTACTGAATTCATGTAAATTTTAAATCTATTTCATATTAATTCAATATCTGAATAAGTTTTCTCTGTGAGCAGCTGATCATCTCAAAGAAGTTAGTGTCCCAATATGGCCAGAATGTAAATATGCAGAAGACAGACTTGGGAATGAAATTTGTGCTGGCTACTACGAAGGGGGTGAAGATACTTGCCAAGGTGATAGTGGTGGACCACTTCTATGCAGGTCAGTGTGAATACACTTATTATAGATTTTTTTTTTTGTAGTTTTTATTTTAGGTTTAGCAGTATAACCTATCCAAATATATGAGATCATGATGGCAAAGCATATTAACCCTTTGACTGTGGGAGCTCATTCATGAGTTTCTACCAGATGGTGCATTATGAAATCCAAAAAGACATCCAGAAAAATAGATTTTTTTTTGGCATAAATTTGTTCAAAATGCTATTTTGAGTTACACTGCAAGATCTTAGCTTACAAAAATGCTTTTTGAAGTTTTTCTTCAACTTTTAATAAACAGGACATATGTCTTCCCGGCCGCACATAGCAATGCAAAATTAGAGCGACAATCCCGCATCACTTCGCTTTCTTGTGTATTAGCTCATTTCTACAAAGAAAAAAAACTGAAAATTATCATAAAAATAACTGTAAGTGATCATAAAAATTAAATTATACTATTTCTAAAAAAAGGACACCAACGACGGGATTCAAATTATATATTTCTTTGTATTTACACATTTTTTTCTTACCTAGAAAAGTTCCATATTGAAACACATCGCAGTTATAAATTTTATTATTGCATTTACATTTATTTTGAGTTTCAAACACTTTTATATTATATGAAATATATATTGTTTTTAGGGGATGGAAAAATGATAAAAGCAACTAAAGTATGATTTTAATTCTATATATTTTTACATTTATTAATTTTTACTATTACATTTTAATCCACCTTCTTTAGAAGTCCTTTCTTGAGTTATCTCCTTTGGTGTAACCTTTTGAGATTTCTCTGGGGCTGTCAAGTGTATAAAGGTGATAATAAATATGCTACAACATACCTGGACCCTCTCATGTGCTCTCAAGCTTTCAAGACAGTTCTCAGGAATGTTTATCCAATTTTGAAGATTCCAAGGGTGCCTTTTTCCATAGTCTTTAAATGCAGTATGCTCTAGTTGCAGATACTTTCAATTGTCTGATTCTTCTTCTTCTTTAGTCATCTCATAATATAATCCTCAGGCAGTACTTTCCTCAGAAAGAAAGCACAAACCTTTGTGATTTTAGTCAGTTAATGAGCATCTCTAACTCATAGAGTCAAGTCCTCTTCGATAATGATACTTGGTATTATTTTTTTGTATTCAATTGTATGGTCATCTTGTAGTAAACAGTTACGCAGTTTGTATGCAGCACTATCAAACTTACGGTGATCCTCTCCTCTGATCCATAGTTCAGTTTCCCTATCTTGCACACTTTACGTTTTTGATGTGCCTCACACAGCTTGAAGTTCACTTGAGTTTGCGGATAGTTACTTAGAAGCACCGCAACTAAATGTCCTCTTGCAGCCTTGGCATAGTTTTTCGGTCTTTCAGTCTCCCTTGCTTTTTTTAGCAACAGGTGCAGATGTTCCAGGGGATGCTTGGATGTTTTCCTGCAGATGGGCCTAACTTGGACAACTGAACTGCCCCAAACCCAACTGCCTTTGGAGCCTTGCATTCTTAGATGCTGACCCTTGGAGATTACTTTCACTCCTACCAAACTTAATTTTGGAATTTTCTCCTCTGGCAAGGCAGCTTTGTTTACCAGGCCTCAGGAAGCCCTTGCACCTTGGCTGATTGTCCATGGGAAAGCTCCATTGTCTCATCTTGCTTCCCTTTTTCAGAATCTTCCCTTTCAAGCAGCCCTGCATCGTCTGTCAAGCTTGGTAGTGCCCTTGTATCCTCAGCTGAGAGCTCTACAGGTGGCCTCATCACTTTGGGTGTGTTAGACAGAAGTTAGACTTTCTCCTTCTTTCTATAATGCTTTTTAACATTCTTGGAGGACCCCGAAATGGCAGGCCTTGTATCCTGAGATGTGTGGTCCTGCCAGCCATCTGGTTGACATTAGGTTGTGAAGTGATATTGGCTGTAGTATTTCTATCAGAAATGTCAGCTGGGGTCTGTGCGCAGCACTTACACTCTCAGTGACAGCATTCTTCTTATATTCAGTTAAGACATGGAGTGATCCCATTTCTTCAGTCAAAGTCTCAAGTAGAGCTCCAACTGAGGAGTCATCTAAAGTTTCAGGGAAGATCTCCCAAATGTTCAAAGGATCTGATGAAGACTTGTCTCCATCAGATAACAGTGCTTGGCTGTATATGTGGGTAAGATCATCTGGAGATATTACCCCCTATCCTTACAGACGGCTACTTAGAATGATGGACCGAATCTCTGTCATCTGCGAGTCCCACTGGATTCTCCAGAGAGCACAATAAGGAGGTGAAAGTTGATATTTTTTCTGTTCTTTCCTAAATTATCTTTTTTAGGTTATATGGGATTTTCCCTGGGAGAGAGAGAGAGAGAGAGGGAGAGGGGGCTGAGGGCGGGGAATTTAGAATTCCCTCCGGCACCGGGACGCGAACTCGTTGTTGGCATTGATATCTTGACATCCGTTAAGAGTGAGGGAGACTCTCTCTCTAGACCTCCCTTAGTCTTACTCATGTGTCCTCCTAAAATCAACTGGTCTTAGTTTAGAGATCCTACATACTGCAACATATCACCACTTACTTGGCATTGATGTCAAAGTGAAAAAAAAAAATTAATATTACTCATTTTAAAAAACTTTTGTTTAGGCTGGCCAATAATAAATGGTATATTGCTGGAATTGTTAGCCATGGTGATGGTTGTGCAAGGAAAGAAGAACCTGGAGTTTACACTAGAGTATCCATTTTTCATGATTGGATTTTACAAAATCTTGGTAATTTTGACTGGTAAAATTCTTTAGCTTATATAATTGTCTATTTAATATTATAATACATATGATTTTTTACATATAGTGTGCATCTATTTGATTTTTCATTCTTATGATTTAAGCATAAGAAGAAAGTCTCTAAGGCATTGTAGATTCCATATATCGATTATTTTCTATTTCTTTAAGAATATTGTTTGAAATATTTATCTGTACATATATCCCATTTAGTATTTTTCCTTATTTATATTTTTCCTCCCACAGTTTTTCCTTTTTTATTTGTAATCAAGTTTCATTTTTCAGAGTGGCGAAAAAGTGCAATCAGGTCAAGTGGGAAGATATGTCCTGGTTTAGTTTGCAGCACAGGAGTTTGCCTTCCTGCAAAGTAAGATTTTGAAATATTTACTTCAAGCTTATTTTCATTTTAAAAAATCACCATCACGGAAAAAATGTTTATTATTTTATGTTTACAAATATTAGTATGAAGAATTTATTTAGCTCTACTTCAGAAATAATCTACCTTATGTGAAAGTTTTTTTATTAAGTTTCATAATCTATTGTTTTATTAAGAGTAAAGAAAAGTGGCTTTCATAAATCCTTAAACTCTTCTTGTGAATGAAGTTTAATTTTTTTTCTTTTTTCTTAAGTCTCACTTATTTATCTCTACACCATAAAATATCTTCTTGTAACATTTTTTTTTGTAAAGAAAATTATAATTTTACCCAAGAATTTATTTAAATTTTTATTTATTTAGATATCATTGTGATAAACATATTGATTGTTTGAACATAGAAGATGAAGAAAACTGTGATGATTTCCTAAGTGCTGCAAACTTAGCAATAAATACAAATGAATCTGTAACTTATACTAATTCAAGTAGATCTGAGGAAGCAAGTGATTCTGTTAATCACAACCATGTAATATTGAACAATGTAAGTAATGACTCAGATCTTCCAACAGAAAATACTTCTAATTCTGAGGATGATTTCTTTGAAACAACAACAGAAAGTCCCTATGACACAACAGAGAATGCTGAATTACACTCTCAACAAATCCAGCCTTTAGATTTTACAGATTTATATTTTTGTAAACAGTAAGTAATTAATATTTTTTTAAAGGTTATTATTATCCTTTTTTTAACACATTGACTTTATGTTAAGATAAACCATTCAACATGGACTATTATCTTCAAAGTATTTTTTACATTTTAAAATATTTATATGATTTTTAAAATTAGTTATAACTTTTCTTTATTCTGCACAGCCTTTGGGTCTTAAATGGTGCAGTCAAAATTAGATAGTATAATATTAATGCCTTTTTGTTTATTATTTTGGGTAACGAACCATTGTAATCGTGCAAAAAATTCAAAATCTTAATCTCTCCCTCAAAATAATAGGTTTTACATTTCAGGACACGTAGAACTTGAAAAATGAATAAAAAAATTTTGTCCGTCTACCATCCGCACATTTTCTCTAAGACAGTTAGACCGATTTTTTTTTCAAAGTTTGAACCAAAGTTAGACGTCACCCGCAGATCCTCCTTAACAGATCCGCATTCCTATCCGCCCTTAGGAAAATATAAATATCAAAACCTATGTTGGTATAAACTCTAGCGTCTAAACGAATGCACCGATTTCAATGAAACTTGGCTAAAGTCTTCTTCTCTTCAATGTCCCTAAAATATATGTATACAACATAATTCACTGAAAATTACTTCCCTTTCAAGATTTTTTTTATTTATTTATTTTTGGCGCTACGGTCCTGTAAGAACCTGGCCTCTCTTATGATCCTTTGCCACTCTCATCTATTCCGAGCGAGCATTCTCCACCTTTGTATTCCCATCCTTTTAAAGCTGTCCTCTAACTGGTCCAGCCATCTCAGGTGTGGTCTTCCCCTTCCACGTTTTCCAACGACAACGCTGCAACATCCCTTTCAAGAAGGTGGCCAAAATACCTGTGCCGTATATACTGTAGCAACTTCAATGAAACTTGGCTAAAGTCTTCTCCTTCGAAACCCTTAAATTTATTTATATAACATACTTTAACGAAAAGAAGCTGGACAAAAAGTTACGAGGGTTGGTCAAATTAGATTTCCGAATAACTCAAAAAGTATACAGTTTTTGGTGATTTTTATAACCAGATGTTAATTTGTTATATTTTTATCATTTTTTTTTTTTTAGATATATTTATATTGTATTGTTTGGTTGATTCCAAACGTTACTGGCATGACACTTATTGCTGTTACTTAGATTTTGTGTTATTTTCAGTAAATTTAAATTAATTTTTACTATGAGTTTGTAAAAAAAAAAGTCTTATTTGTGATTATGTTTATTTCTATTGAAGTTTAACTAGCTCGTCGTGGTCTGGCACGCATATTATATTCCAACTAAATTAGTTTTGTTCTGACTGAAGAAAAGTATTGGTCTCGTTAACTTCAATGAAACAAAAAGTTGAATTTTTCTTACAGATTTTTCGATCCATGCATTTTATGAGTGAAAACATACCTATTAAGTGTATAAAACTACTGTTAGAGCAAAAGGTCGTATGTTAAAATTTTCAACTTTTACTCTAATTGTGCTAAAGGTGACATTCTGTAGTCTGCAGCTGATACAAGCAGTCTGCTATGTTGGAAAATAGCAAAGGGCAATAAAATATTAAATCAAACTAATAAATCATAAAGAAACAATTAGTTATGCTCTCTGGTAAAACAATCAATTTTTACATACAACCTTTTGCACTAGCAATAGTGATATGCATGTTCAGTATGCACTTGATTTTTTTTAAAAATTACAAATCATCAAATATGCAATCTGCAAATGAAGAACTCTTTTGCATTTTAGTATTCTCTTATGAACAAAGCTTGTCTATATCAAACCTATATATGTTGAGGGTTTACTGAAATTTTTGAAAATGGCTTCTCTCTGAGATGTTATTCTCATTCAAAAAATGTTAGACCTTGTAATATAGATATTTTTTAGGCACTGAAAACGGTGAAAAAGCTATACTGACCTTACTTTGCAGATGTTTTTTTCTTTTCATTAATTATACAGAAAACGTAAATATTAGTGGAGTTGTTATTTTTTTTAAATTTTTATCCCATCATTTTTATTCTAGGCTGAATCAACGAATTTTGGCATCTAGAGTTTGTGACAATGTTGTCGATTGTGAAGATGGGAGTGATGAAAAATATTGCTCCTGCTACGATAAACTGATAAATCTTTCTCCTAATCTGATATGTGATGGAAAAATTGATTGTCATGATTCAACAGATGAAAAGGATTGCCCAGGTTTACCATTATCAGTTATGCTTTCAGATACTGTTATGTATCTTATCTAAATGATATTTATTTTCAGTTAAATGCTCTGAAAAAGAATTTTATTGCCACAAAACTGACATATGCCTGTCATTAGATAAAAGATGTGACAGAAACAAAGATTGTTACCAAGGTGAAGATGAAAATGGTTGTTGTAAGTAACCTAATGGCCTAAATATAAACTTAGCATGAACCATTGCATTAGTAATATTAAATAACAATACAATGATATCATTTTAACCATTATTATTTTTTCTTAGTTTTAAACTATTATGATGTACCTTAAGCAGAACATTTAAAAAGAAAGTTCATTGCTCTCTTATCTTTCTCGATACCTTTGAGGCTTTTTTCTACAACTTTTCATTTTACCTTTGAACTTGAAATTCACATAAATAGGAATCCAGGTGTTGCCTCGCAGTTTCTTGATGTTTTTTATTTCTCCAATTACCTGAGCTCTATAATTGTTCTATGTGTTGAGTATGGACCTCACTTGAAGGATTAACAAAGTTATACCGGTGATTCACCTGGAAATGGTTATAGTTTGCTTCATTTAGTTGTTGGGTATTGTATTCTTTCCAACAGTCAGAATATATGGTTCTCTCTTCTATGTTATTTCTGATACATTCTAATAGAGTTGTTGCTTTTCTGTCTTTTATTTTTACCATGAAACACTTCTGTTTTCTCATTTCATAACCTTCATACAATTTCACCGTTGGAATTATCCCAAACTTCTGAAAGTATTTGACAGCTTCTTTTTCCAAAGACGGCAATTCATAAAGTGTTATTATATCCATTTTAAATTTAAAAAAACAATAAAAAAGTTTAAAACAATTTAATAACGTACAAGTAATGGAAAGATAATAAGAGGTCACACGAAATAAGAAGGGAGCTTCCGTGATGACCAGCTAAATGACACTTAACACTTCATTTTTCTAGAATGAAGCAAAGTTTTTAGGCATAGTGAACATATAAATTTGAAATCTGAGTTCAGTAATACAGAGTTCCTCAAAATTTCTATTGTTATTGTGCCACTATTCTGGTGGTAGGCGACCAGGTAGACGACCAGCAGAACAAAGCTCTGCGTTTGATTTTGGGTGCACCGCGCTCAACCCCTGTTGTGGCTATGGAACTGCAGACCACAGTAGAACCTCCGTGATGGCGTGACCACAGAAACGGCGTGAGCGAGCTGCAATGTGCCTTCACGAGCGAATGAAAAGAATAGACCAAGAGTTTTGGGAAAAATACAAAATCCCCTCTCAACGGCTCAAGACACAAAAATCCTTCATGCTGAAGGCGATGGCACTACTTGAAGAAAGAGGGCTTGACTGCGAAGAAAGGGAACCATTTATACATCCACAGTTACCAATTCACAATCACGCATGCAATGCAGAACTGCAACTTCTTCATAAGGTGGATAAGAAAAAAACACCTGAATACGAGCTAAAAGCATTAGCATTAGAAACCATAGCTCAAAAGTACCCTCCTCAAGATTGGTTCCATATCTATACCGACAGATCAGCTGAATCAGCCGTTAAAAATGCTGGAGCAGGGGTTTACTCAAGTGAATTCCAAATCAGCGCTGCGGTGGGAAAAGATGGAACAAATTTCGACGGTGAGATAGCGGCGATCCTCATAGCCTTAAGAACATTGTCTAGAAGACGGGATCAGAGCGCTGTTCTCTTCATCGACTCCCAAGCAGCCATCCTTGCTGTCACAAGCACGAATGAATGTTTATCGAGTGCTATATTGGAATGTAAATCCCTCCTCTCTAACCTGACACACCGAGGCACCAATGTGGTCCTACAGTGGATCCCCAGCCATTGTGGGATTCCGGGTAACGTTGAGGCTGATATTCTTGCCAAGCGAGGAACAGATTTGCCTCAGCCGATACATCCAAAACCTTACGACTCTATTCGGCGAATGGTGAAATTGGTAGTGAAGGAGGAAATAAGAAAAGTACATTTCGGCAAAGTGGAAGGGAAGCGTTACGAGTGGTTGAAGGATAACCCGATCCCAGCTGAGCTGCCTAGAAGAGATGCAGTTGCCTGCTTCCGCCTGGCCACTGGTCACGACTATCTGCAGAGTCATCTCTACAAGATAGGCGTCGCTGAGGATCCTAGTTGTAACTTGTGTCATCTAGGAACAATGGATGCAGACCATCTAGACGCATGTCCTGCCTTGAGGGACATAAGCGACAAAAAATTTTCAAATATACATATCAGAAAATCGAAATTATACTGGGCAGCAAGATGTCGGATGGCCAAATGACCAACGAATGGCATAAGAAAAAACAACTATTCTGGTGGCATATATATTGTTAGAGTTCACTTGGGAGCCTACGTAAACTAACTCAATATAGATACCAATTTGTCCTAAGATACCAATTCACCATCGATGAATACATGGTGGAAAGTTACCTTATACTCATTTGATTTCTCCAGCATTTGTCTTACTGAGTTTATATGATCAGTGGTAGAACGACCTGGTTGTAAATAACCTACTAAAAGTTAATTTTAAATAATTAGTTTTGGCGGGAATAGGCGCATAGCCTTCCGCTTTTATATCCGGGATTTAAGTTATTTACACTCGTGAAAATTAAGATAAAACCCCGGCACTGGATATAGACTTTTTGAGGGTGTTTAACTGTTGTTGGGAATCTAATACTTTTGTGACACTGTGTGAGAAGAAACAATAAGAATACATACACATATAATGTGGGACTTAGTAAATACACTTTGAATGAATTGACTCAACTGGTTTATTCTTCAATTGTGAGGCCTATAGGACAACTAAATAAAAGAACTATTCACTCCTGTCTAACAAAGCAATTTATTTTAACAACTGATATAAGTGAATATATTAAAGTCTAATAACTGTAGGCTTGATATTCTTAGTCTTCAATGTAGTAAACCTCTCCTCCCAGATGACGTCTTCTTGTGTTAGTGTCCAGGCCTCAAGTGACTGGTGTCCTCTTCACCAGCTGTTCCCAGCTACCTGCTCTGACCTTTTTCCAGCGTCTTTCCTCATCGATTGTTTATCGATATGAGACCTTTCCATGAATAATTTGCCCACTGCATAATTGAGTAATATTCACAGTGCAATCTCACATTCCTATATATTATATATTCATTCTCATTACCTCACACAATGTTGTCTAAAGGAGTAAATACAGGAGGATGTCTACTACATGGTCTAAAACCAATTTGGTATTCTCCTACTACTTTTTCAGCCTATTTTATTAATCTCCTGCTGATTGCTAAAGAGAGCACTTTGTATACTCTTCCAAGATATTCCACAATAATTTCTACATTCTGTTCGGCTCCCCTTTTTGTATATCGGACATACTAGTGCATCAAACCATTCTTATGCCATATGTAACAATACTGCTATAAGAAAATCTAATTTACTTTTCAGAGGCTACCTTTACACATTAATAGATCTTATTAATAAAAATTGCAGATGCTTTAATTGAAAATGAATTAATTTTGGATATTACTGGAAGACCATCTTTGTTCACCAATGGAACAGCAGTTGAACTTCATAAAGGATCATGGAAGAGTGTGTGTAATGAAAGTAATCCAGCAAATAGAGGATTAACTATTTGCAGATCCTTAGGATTTAGGTAAATATCAATTAAAATTTATATTTTATAAGATTAAAGTCAATTATTTTTATCTTGATAAGTAATTAACATAATTCTATTTGTTGTTATTTACTTTTATGTATTTTTCCCCTTCTCTATAGCTTGACAAAAATATATATTAATATGTTTTTATTTCCATAATATTTTTAAAAATTTAGTTTGTCAATTTAAAATTTTTAATAATAGCGTATTTTCCTTATATCAGTGTGGAAAAAAAAATTATAAAATTTTAGATTTTGGTATGTCGTTATTTTTTTTAAATTGTCAATTAATATATCGACAGCTACACTGCAAAAGCCTCTAAGGACAATTTCTTTTTTGAAATGAGCTTTTGAGCTTTTCTGGTCAATCTTGTCCTGGCGCATATTTTGATTCCACAAAATGAAATCTTTGATGCTTCATTTCTTCTCTATGGTATTTTGTATAAACCTCTAATTTAAAAACCAGCAAATTGTGAAGGTGTAAGTTAAAAGTTAAAAAATTGTAAACTGTAAGTTACAGTGAAGGTAATAGGAATCAAGTCATTACCAAAAAAACATAATGAAATGTTCTATGAAAGGTGGTCATGTAAATACAGATTGTATAATGAATTTTGTGTATAAACTACAGTATAAATTAGCTTTATTGATAAGCTATAATTAATTTTTCTCATATGCTATATATACTTTTTTTAAATTTCTAATAATTGATGGGCACTTTCAGCCCGACGCCTCTGGGCAAATGTGCCTGGGTTCTCCTGCTCTGAGGCTTACCATGAAACTAGGCGAAGCAAAGAAGAGAGTGGTAGGTGGGAATATAATATTAAACGGTCTTTAAAATAATCGAAACCTTCTGGACACAGCAAAATGAGCTTGGATGAAAAAAAAGCTACAACACTGCCAATTTCCAGATATTGAGATAAAAATAATTGAACGTAAAATTTAATATGAGTCGAAAAAAGAACTTTAATTTCATCTTTTCAAATAAACGAATCTTCGAAATTGCAAGAAGCTCAGAAACGAACTGATCTACACATCAGGTTACCTAGAATTTACCAAGCATTTGTGAATCAAACCATGTCCATATGAAGTTGAGTAAATTAAAAACGAATCTTTCAGAGACTACTCTAAAATGGGGCAAATGCATTCCATTCAAGCCGCTCCTACAGTGAGAGACAAAAATGTGAATAACCCGTGTGATCGAATATTCGCTTTCCAATCAAATTTTTTACAAATTTTCATTTGAAGTATCGTTTCTATTTTTAGAAAACTGACTTTGTTCTTGTCATGCCTTGATCATTATTCACAAAGTTATGGGTGTTACTACAATAAATTTGATTGTTTTTACCTAACTAATATCTGTTTTTCAAATTAACTAAAAATATATAAGTTAGAAGTAATGGCTCTAAAAGATTATTTGGCAAAATACAATAAAAAAAGTTACATAGAGCATTAGATATTTGTGTCAAGCCTGCAAAAAAAATTTAACTGAAAAATATAATGCTCATAGAACAAAAGTTATGGACTTTTTTCATCTCCTGAAATTTTTTAAAGCTTTTGCAGTGTGGCTATCAATATACTACTTCATTATTAGTTTTTGACTATTAATCAGTTCAAGTTTAATTTATGTTATATCTCTAAGTAGGAATATTTTTCTTATTTAGAACTGCTCGAAGTGAAACAGTAGAAGTGAATGAAAATCCAACTAATAAAGATGGAATAATGTGCCAGGGTCTTATGATATCTTGTTCATCTCCAGAAAATTTATTATGGACTGCTCCTCTCTTTGTTGACGGTACACCTGTTGCTCTGGCTGCTATGATATCCCTCAATTGGCTTCTGGCACCTCATTCTTCTCTAATTTTCAATGAGTATGTTAGTCATTATCATTTTGACTATAAAAATAATTCTACAATATTGCAGTGTTATTGCTAATACATGTAGAGAATTTTAGGCATAACTTGAATATTTGTTTTTATTTAAATCACAAATAAATTTTCATCGATTTAGAAAAAAAAAATGAAAAAATGAATTTTTACAAGTGATTTATTTATTATTTCAATAGAATTTTTGCTAAATTTAGAAGTTTATTCCTCTTTTCATTCCGCACTTTAACTGCTTCTTCACAATCCTGGTCAAACCACTCATTTTTTTCCTTTCTTTTTCCATCCCTCTTACAATGTTGGTCAGCTGAATAAGATATACACATAGTAATAGATATATATTCGTAAGATACAGATGAAAAAGCAAATGAATAAGTTGGAAATTGTTCACACTTATTTTCATTTTATTCTATCTACAAAATAAAGATAGTAAAGTGTTATTTGCTGTTGCATATTTTATTTGTTATTTACAAATTATTCATTATTAAAAAAACTAATTGTGAACCATTTGTATCTCTGATTCATTATTTAAAATAAAATTTGTCTTATACAGCTTGTAGGTAATGGGTTTATTAAACTGCTGTATTGCAATCAATTAAATGATAAATTGATTTGTTTTTGATCTGAGAAACTCAATATTCTAGCTTTACTTCATCGACCTCTGAAATGTTAAAGCCATGTGTAAAGTCATGATTAATTAATAACCATAATAGTTAAAACAAAAGTTATTATTTTATTATCATGTTTCTATTTTTACTGATAAGAGTAAGAATATTTTTTTACAATCTGCAATAATCCTTGTAAATAGGTAGTGAAGACATTTATATGGGAATTTACTAATTAAAACTACTTTATGCTTTACTCTTAATCAATCATAACGAAAGCATAATGTGAAATACACCTTTAGTTGTCACCATCTTACCTTTATTAAATTAATATGATGACATGACTAACATATAGCTAATGATTAATTAATTATTTTTTTTAGCTCAAAGGTACATCTTAGTTCCTGGTTAGGAAAGAGTAATGTCAGCCTTAATATTCTGGGTCCTTATGACCAGTATATTCGAATAGATGGTATTATAGTCATTGATGAATTGGATGCTGTACTTCTACATCTTGAAAATTCAGCAAAAATATCTCACGTTACAGTTCCTCTACCACTTCCAGATTGGTAATTATCAAATTAAAGTATTTTTTAATTGAAAGCTACTTAGACAAAAGGCACCCTTAGCAATATCCATTCAAATACTCCTCTCTCTTGGTTTAATCTCTCTTTTTCTTCCATTACATCAATTTATGTGTAGTCTACCCTACACTCATTGGATAATCTAAAATGTTTGCTAAATTGTTTTGTTATTAACCATCATTACTCTAGTAGTAGTAAACTCAATATATAGTCAAATTCATAAGAGTCGAATTTAACCAGAGCTTACCATCTATTTTGTCTCAAACCACTGTTCTGTTTAAAAGATAAATTTATTCTCCCCCTAAAGACTCTTCAGTAACCAACCTCTGCATAGAATTGAAAAAATCTTTACGTTCCAAATAATATAAGGCTTCCTCCTATATTATTCCTAATTTTATTTTTGTATTTTAGCTTTTCCAGTTTGTTTTCTTTATAACAGATATTTATCCCTTTCACCAAAATGATTACACCTTGACGGCAAAATATGGTTACTCCTTCACCTCCTTTATGTTCCTCATTTTGTATTATTGTACTGTCAGTAATACATTAATTTCATTATTTATTCTTTGTTACTTATTTTTTTTTCTCTGTAGGCCAGCATCATTTGATGGTACTGAAAAATGTGAAGCTGTAGGAATGAACTACAAAGGCAGCATAACAACAGTCATGTTAGAACCTCTTCCCTGTGACAGTAAAAAGAGATGCTATATTTGGGACAGAGATGATGATTTCTGTAAGGTAAAGTTATATATATTATTTTGTTCCATCTTTACAGAAGAAGTGACTGCTATCTAGCAAGCCTTCTGTATTGTCAAGGAAAAAACTACAAAAAGACAGCAATCGTAACTGACTCGAAGGGTTTCCTACTGATATTTAAATACCAGAGATCAAAGCACTCAGCAATATCAGAAATTTTGAATTTTATTTGGGAAATCATAAAAAAGGCTGTAACTTTATTTAAACCATCATCACACTATGGGATAAAGGAGAACAAAAGAACAGATATTGCCCAAATTGGTAACAATAGCGTATTAAAAATCCTAAATTGTGTTTCTCGGGAAGATTCAGTGAAAAAGGTCAAATCCCTACTGAGGGTCTATTGGGGTGAGACTCGGAGAAGCTGCTCTTTGAAATTACTCGACGTAAAATATAATAATTTAAAATTAAATACTAGCTGTAAAGGATCAAGGCAAGAAGAAATAATATTGTGTCATTTCAGAATCAGCCATTATGAATTCTGCTATGGGTATCTTCTCCGTGGCCTAGATGCCCCTATCTGTGTCGAGTTTGGTGCGTGAGTGTGTGTGTGTGTATGTGAGGCTTTGTTGATTTTGAGACCCATCTGCTGGTTAAGTGCTAACAGTATTCACACACAAGAAAAAAATAAACATGAGTGATACAATAGAAAAAATACTGAAAGATTCGGAAACCGCAATGAAATTTCATATGAAGTGCGTGAAAAGAATCAAGTTTTACCACCAGGTATAAAAATGTGTGAAGGGGCAATTATCCTTCAGGTAGAAGCATTCCAATTATAATATATCTGGTGTGTCCACTCACACGACTAATTTCAGAAAAGTTTTTATATCTTTACATATGTTCATGAAGAAACAAAAAAGAATTGAACTAGATTTATTTTCCTGAAAATTGATCAAACAAAAGATTTCAGTACGATTTATTTGATAAACAAAAGCAATGTAAACCAGCTTAAGGTAGATCAGTGTAAAAATTTCAACACTTACTAATATTGCTGATCAAGAACTTTTTGCCATAGCTTAGTGTTGTCAAACAATAATTTCTGTTAAAAGTAGAGGAAATAGTGAAGATTGTGTGATGCGGGCAACAGATTTTCTTACTTTCACTTATTCATCTTTATTCTCTCATTCACCCCTTCTTGACACCAGAATATGAACTCTTAATCTTTCATTGGAAATTGAATTACTGTTACTTCCTTAATAGTCGTCCAAAATGAACGATTTTTATATGGCTTTGTAGGGAATTTCATTATCTTTCAAACGACAGCCTAAACTGCTAAATAGAATAATCATCACTAATACTAATTCGATTCCGATGATTTTTTTTTTTTTTTTTTGGTTATTTAATTACCTTTCAAAAGTTTTATTATAAATTTTACCATATAATATATACTTAGGGAGTTAGGCCCCATAACATTTTTCTTTTCTTTATAGCTTTTTTTCCTGATTTTTTTTGGGAATTTAGTCTATATACAAAAATTGAAAGGACAATGATTAGAACATAGAAAAGTTTCATCAAAATCGTTTTAGCCGTTGTCGCTCTAAAGTCCATAAAAAAACATGTTTTTCATTTATTGTGTGTAAGCTATTGCGCATGGAGCACCGAATTTCTGTCACAGGTATCAGTAGTCTAAACCCTACAAAATAAAAAAAGAAGCAACAAAATCGGTTCAGTAGTTCCCGAGAAAATCTTGGCACAGACAGACAGACAGACCAATGGCTAAAAATGTGTTTTTCGGACTCAGGGGCTCTGAAACATATAGATCCGTCGAAAACTGCATATCGGAAATTTGCCCCGATTGCAATATTTTCCTTATCTAGCATAGTAGGAAAATAATTGACAATTAATTTGAGTTTTGAAAATTATGAATAGTGCTACTGTTTAGACATTGGGCTTCTTACGACTAAGTTCTGATTCAATCCCATATACCTCACAAAAGTTTATTTTATTTTTATCAGCCATAGATTAACTTTGGATTGGATTTGAAAAGCCTCCTGGGATATACTTAGCTTTTATAAATTTATGATCCTTCAATGGGTTGGTTCGGGGGAATCTTGATGTTGAGCTGACCGCCTTATTACTAAAAATTCTTCTGCAAATAATATGAACATATTAATATATTTAATGCTAGAGGTGGTGATGGCTGAGGTTGTTGAGGCTTTGCTTGCTTTAACTTGAATGAATGAATGAATTTAGATTGGGTCTGTTGAAATTTATTTCGTAGTGGACCCATGGAATGTGTCTCAACCTTCACACTCTGGTTAGAATAGGTTTGATTCTACTTCGAGAACAACCGTTTCACTTTAACTCGGCATAATATTGGGTTATATGCTATCCCGAAAACAAATCTCAAGTCGTTTGAGTTTGCTTTGAATTCATATAGGAGTCCATCAGACACCAGACAGCCATGGTCAAAATGGGAGAAAAGAAAGGAGGGAACTAAGAGTTGGCAGCTTTTAATAGAAAGGGGATAACAGAGAAGATTGAATTGTTTGAGAGTTGATATGGTTTAGTGAGGTACTCGCTTCGGCGGTACATATACTAAAATTGGACGATACAGAGAAGATTAGCATGGCCTCTGCGCAAAATCGTGAAGCATTCCACATTGTTTTGTGTGGGCGGGGTGGCCGAATGGGCTAACGCGTGTGCACTGCACCGCCGTTGCCTGGCAACCTGATAACTGAATCTAAGATTTAAAAATAGACACGAGTTCTTGTCCCGGTGCCGGGGGAGTATTTTAAATCCCCGCTCACACCCCCTGGCTCGGGAAAATCCCGTATAGCCTTAACGGCGAGGAAGGGAAGGACAAAAAAAAAAAAAAAAATGGTTTAGTGAGAAATTTGTGAGATGTGAGGTTTCCAGGAAAGGTTTAGATCAAAGGTTAAATCAAGATTTTCTTCTTCGTCAATTGTTTAATAAAAAGTACTCACGTTTTAGAGACTGGGTGTGCCAAATTCTAGTAAGAACGTGTTATTTCTTGACCAACAGCAATACCAGCTGCTAATGTGATTATTATCCTGAAGTACCAAGCATATTTTGTTTTTCTTAACTTATTAAAGAACCAGGTATCCAGTTGATTCCAATAATAATGAATATATTGTAATTATAATAATGAACAAAAGTATTTAAATATCAAAGCTATAAACAGATTCTCATTATACCAAACAATTTCTTCTGATTTCAGACTCCGGGAATTGTAGTCTGTCACTCGGGTTATGGCTCTTACATTTCTTCTGTAATTTCACAAAACATTTGCCTTCAAAAAGTAATAATATTACCCGATATTATTGGAAAGAAACATCTTATCACAAAACATTTAGGTTAGTAGGACAGAGCTATTGGTTTTTGATAATTTAAAATTTTCTCATTTATTGTATAAATTACACATATAAGCTTTATATTGTGTTCATTTATAGATGAAGAACTGGCCCACAACAATTTATTATATGAAGATATTTGTGAAACTGTCAGGTGTGAGAATGGGAAATGTCTTGAATGGTCTAAGATTAGTGATGGAGTGAGCGACTGCTTTGATTCTAGAGATGAAGCTGATGAAGCATGGAGAAAAAAAGAAATTTACTGTCAATATACAGATGATCCCTATTGTAGTATGTGAATCACTTTTATTTATAAATAGTAATAATAATAATTATTATTATTTATTCATAAGTATTAAGGCTATTGCTTTCTTTCGATCTCAAGAAGTGTCACTATAGTTAAAAATGATATTAAAAAATTGTTTGCTATATATTATTCGTATTGGTTTAAAAAAAAAAAAAACGAATATCCTCTAAGTCTGTTTATGTATTACTGAGATTATAGGAAATAAATTTGGAATAAGATTAAAACTAAAACTAAAAAAAAAGTAGTATTGGAAAAAAATGTTTTCTTTTTTTTAATGTATGTATATACATTATTAGTTATATTATTCAAATTGGTACCTCATCCACCTAATGAGCAGATTTTTTTTTTGGCTCAATAGACTTTAGATCTTCAGCCACAGTAGAGAAGGCTGATTTTCTCTACTTCAGACTGTCTTAGACTACTGCTTTCCAATGTGTGTGTGCACCATAGAGCTAATCTAGTTTTTTACCTCAAACAAGATCTCTTGCAAACTACTGTGGCATTTATTGTTGTTCAAGCTACATACATGCCTATCTTAACTTCGTTCTCTTTATACTGACTGACCAGTTTTTATATTTTTTTTATTAGTCCTTCTCCTTCATGTATAAAGGTTCCGATTCCAGATCATGACAATTATCGTGTGGAAGACTTTTCTCCCAAATTTATCACTTTTGCTTTCCAGGGTGCCAGTTCGAACTCAAATTTCCTAACCTTGTAATATAACTGCTTTCATTACAGCATTTTTCACATTTGAGTTAAAATTTCTAGATATTTTTAGGGATTTCAGTACTCTTAAGAGAGAGAAAGAAGAAAACCTAGTTTGCAATTGTTACAGGTTGGTATATTTCTGTAAGTTGATCAGTTATTTTTATTGTGGAGATCATCTGTCTACTTCCACAAATGATTCAGTCGCCTTGTAGATCCTGTTCTTTGGGTGATTTTTACTTACTGGCATATTTTTTTATACTTTCATTCACTTGCAGACAAATTTGCTGTTTTTTTTTTCTCCTCTTCCTCACCTTTTAGGCTATATGGGATTTTCTTGGACCAAGGGGTGATCCTGGCGTTGATCCTGCTTGGCCGCCTGTCCACTCAAGTTTGTTTTCTTCTCTAATAACAATCCCGAGTCTCTCATTGTGTTCATGATTAAATTATTTAATGGGATTCAATGTTTCAATCTTATATCCATCCCCCTCCGTTACTATATGATTTTATCATCTTCTCTAGAACAAAATTGAACAGCATTATGAACCTCCATTTCTCTACCTCAAACATTTACAAACTTCAAATGCTTCAGATACTTCTCCTTACACCAGGAATGCATTCAGGATCATTTGTAAGTCTCACTAAGTTTCCAGGAGCATCCAGATCTGTCATGATCCATGTGTAGATATAACTAGTACTTTTAGGACAAGCTGATCCTACCCAAGAGTTTATATAGGTTTTTAGTTAAATGTCATCCATATTATTACCCTTACCTTCAATTTGACATGATTTTCTTACATTAAGGTTAATGTTTGATGAGTACTTATTACAGTATTATAGGTAAATATTTATTCATTCATTAACTTTATGTATCAAATATGCTAAACAATTTTTAGTTAATTTAAGTATGTAAAAATTTTTGTTCTTGTTTAATTTTACTGATTTAGTTCTCTATCATCTGCTCTATATCTTCTATATCTAATAGAATATTTAAATCTTTATGTTAGTAATTGAGTGAATTAATAATTTAAAAATATGTTCCAGCTTGTAAACCAGGTTTTATAAGATGTCACAGTGGTGAATGCATTCGAGCAGAGAAATTTTGTGATGGTTCTGATGATTGCCAAGATGTTAGTGATGAGAAAGACTGCAGTTGTGAAGGATATCTTTCTCTTGCCAGACCATTCATGCTCTGTGATGGGAATCAAAACTGTAAAGATAAGGGAGACGAGAACTGGGTACTCTGTGGTAACAAGCAGGATAATGATTGCATGACTGAGAGGAAGTTTAAATGTCCAAAGTAAGTTCCAAATATTATTATCATTCAAGATTTTATAGTTTATAAAGCATTATTTGATATTAAAAAATAAATTATATCAGTTTATACCTTTAAATTATTTTGTGTTTTTGTACTATATAATGTTGTGTTGGAACACCCACAGTCATAAGCAAGCACTCATAGTCCGTGGTACTAACCCCTTTTTATCAAATTATTAACATCCGCCTGAAACTTCGTAAATAGCTTTATCTCATCGCAACCTACAAATATTTTATGTACGAAAATTCTTGAAATTAGGGCGTTTCCAATCTGGAGATCGGCAAACTTTGTCTGTTTAATTGTGTACTAAAAACTTCTAAATACCCATTTGCTTTCCACTTGGATTGTATGATAATTTGTCCAAAAAGTTGAGAAAAATGGTGGCCTTCAAAAATAATGAGCCGTTTGGTGTGACCTACACTCCCATATTTCCAAAATAACGAGGTTATTTAGGCCAAATGGCCCAATATTTTTGTAGGCCACCTTTTTTTTCGATTATGTGGTTATATTATCTAACGAATCAAGTGGAAAGCATGTCAGTATTCATGAGTTTTTAGTACCTAATTAAATAGACAAAGTTTGCCGAACTTTAGATTGAAAACGCCCCAATTCCAAAAATATTTGTAGGTTATGATGAGATGAAGATATTTATGAAGTTTCAGGCAGATGTTAATAATTTAATAAAAAGGGGTCTGTACCATGGACTATCATTAATTTAATTGAAGTTTCCTTTTTAAATGATTCAAAGAATCTATTTAATTAGTTATATTTTAATAGAAATATTAGATTAAACAAATATATTGAAAGATAGATTCTATAAAATTGTATAGATATATATATGTGTTTAGTATTAAGCTTATATATATATATATTATATATATATATATATATATATATATATATATATTTATAAAATATATATATAATCACATTACAGTAAATCTGGTCAATATTAAGGTAAAGCTTCATTAGAATTTTAAATTCCCTTTAAATTAATAAGATTAATTATCATGGCACTGAGTAACACTGCAAGTAAAATTACTGTTAATAATAATCTGAAATCAGGATTTTCTGTCTTTATTAGTGTTGGGCAGAGTCTGCCACTATTTTCAATTTTTCCTTCCATTTATGTAATCAGGTATGTACTTTTTAAACATAATAATGCTTGAAATTTTATATTACATTGATTAGTGAATGTAAAATAATCAGCCTTTTGAAACGTGGACACTTCCATTAAGGGATGAACAGTGCCTTTTGGTTTTTTAAAATAAAATATTGTGTAGAATATTCTGTACGAATAAGAATGAGACCACCGAAGAATTTAGTCTGTTACACAATGCCAAATCATGTTATCTATACCGTTAATATAATATATTAGTTAATATAAAAATAAATAATTAACCAACAAATAAATAGTTGATTCATTTGAGTATAAAAATCTCTTAGCATTATATGTGCCCTGTAATGTGTGTAACTATCAATGAATTGTTCTTGAAGTTTGATTAAAGAATGACAATGTTAGAGTTTATAGAAGAATAATCAAGGAACCAAGTCAATTGTTTGTCTTCCTTTCAGTTGATTCTTCTCAGAAATTACTCTATAACGTAAATAGATATTTTATTTTTTACATAAATTAGGCCAATATTCACCAACAATTTATTTATAAGCTATTAATTACGACGTTTCGACCATACTAAGGGACATTTTCAAGTCTTAATGAATCCCTCCAGAAATGACGTAGGCGAAACCCCTAAATAGCAGGACAATTTAATGTTCACTGAACAAAATAATATGACATTAATAATGAATATATAATGAAGGCCTCATTAGGACTTGAAAATGGCCCTTAGTATGGTCGAAACGTTGTAATTAATAGCTTATAAATAAGATGTTGGTGAATATTGGCCTAATTTATTTAAAAAATAAAACCTCAAGACACCAATTTTAGGAAAAATGAACAGAAGATATATAAATATTCACCCAGAGCTAAAGGATTGGATTGACTTTAGAAACAGATTTGTAGTTTTTGTATTGTTAAGTTAAAACTACCGATTCTTTGTAGTGATTTATCAATTTATTGAATTTTGAATTAACAAAAGTTTACTTATTTAATGAAGCTTGAAAATGGCTAATTACTTAATTTGAAAAAAGCTAATTACTTTGTTAAGTTTTTATAATTATGTTTGAAAGGGAAAATATACTAAAGATTGATTTTTAGTTCAGATGTTTGCATACCAAAAGATTTCTTATGTGACGGTGATCCTGACTGCCCTGATAACAAAGATGAAGAGATGTGTATTGCTCTCCGATCTCCTGTTGATAGCCCGTGAGTAAGAATATCTATTTTATCTTATTTTACTTATTCATTAATCTAACTACAAATTCTATTGCAGGAAAGAAGGGATGATTTTTTCTTTACTCTTTGGTCAACTAGTACCTCAATGTTTAGAACCTGATGACAGTATTGGCCAGATCATTTGCTCTATGCGTGGCTTTGACTTAGAACAATCCAATTATAGCAAAATACCAAAGATTAATGTTGTTGTCGATGTATTTAGCCTGGTAAATCTTAATTCTAATATTTCAATAAGTCTGAGGACCAATAGACCATTTGCCAGTATTTCACAATCAGACAATGAAACATGTAAAGCATTGTACATACATTGTCATTAAATATCTTTAAAACATATTACAGAACGAAGAAAAAATAATAAGGCCCGGATGAAATATCTTTTGTAGTTTTTTTTTTTTTTTTTGTTAAAGATAAGGAGTGCAATTAATTTCATAATTGCAAAGTTTCAGAATTTTTAAAAAAAAAATTATCTTGTCATTTGCTTTACAAAATTTTCTCTCTAAAGTAATTAATAATAATTTAACCAAAACATACATAAATGTTATTTTCAATCCTTGTACTTAATTCTTTTATAAAATTATTTCAGTTTAAAAGTTGCTTTATATCGTCTGTCATCTGGAATATTAATTTATGAAACTACTGTACATCACCCTGTAAGATTTACTGTAATTTGATCATTGTATATAGTCATGTTTATAAATCTTATTAAAAAAAAACTTTTGAACTTCTATTAAAATTTTCCTATTCTCAACCACAATAAAGCTTACAACATTGACATTATTACAGTTCAAAATATACTAAGTATTAATATTAAATACAGAAATATTATTAAAAACCTTTTCATTTTAGCAGTTTCATGAATAAAATTATTTGATTCTGATATTTTTATTTCATAACATTTAATATTTTTTACAAAAACACAAGAAAATAATAATTAAAACAATATTGGTTAACATTTTTAATTTTTAAGTCATATAACTAACAGTTCTAATACACTGACATGCTGAAGAGTATCACAGATAACATCATAACACTAGAATGACTATAACTTATTATATAACTTGATTTATGATCACAAAAATAAACATTAAACATTTAGTCATAAAAACTTTAAATGATACACAATGGTTTACATAGCTTACATCAAACGAATAATTTATAAATGTAGTGTAAAATATTTAAACAAAGTAACACACTAAAGCTCATGATGACAAAATATGTTGTCATAAATCATTAATAATGTTGCTGTTAGCATTTAATGCATTTTCACACTGCACATTAGCATAAACTTAATTAGTTATCCTATTCTTATTTACTAAGCATACTTTACAAATAATTTCAAATCAGCTATAAACTAAAAAATTGTTCTTAGCACCCTAAGTTTATTTTTACACTTTTGACTATTTACAGTTGACAAAATAAAAGTAAGGAGAAAGAGGCATTTCAAACATCAGATTCCATTTTCAATAAAAATAAAATAACAACAATTTCTGGTGTACAGTTGCATTAATACAACTTTTCCTAAGTATTAATAACAACAAAAACTTAAAAATAATTGTTTAGGAACTCAGTTGATGTTTAAGTCCTTTTTAAGGATTCTAAATATTACAGTTGTTTTTTTTTTCCAACTAAATGAATCAAATTCAAAATTTTATAAACTGTATTCATTTTGAAATTTATTATAAAATATTGGACCCATCAGTTTCAAACCTGATTTAATAAATTTTAATCACAACGAAATGAAATTAATGAAAATAAATACAGCAATATTGTAATAATCAGATTATTCAAAACAGGGATCAAGTTTAAACAGCCTTATTTATTATCTTGAAAAATTCCAAACTAACACAAGATTAAAAAATTAGTAGCACCATGTGAAACTAACTGAATATTTCTTCCATGTAACAAAAAACTTTTCATGAAAAAATATAAAGAAAAAAAAAAAGGAAAATCTCTGTATTTGTTTTTATGGAATTATGTTATAAATGAATGTCTATCAAATGAGTTTAGTCATATTTTTAAATAAAAAGTGATGTACACTTATCCGATTTTATTTATGAACAGATACTTTGACACATGACTGATAGTTTAACTGTAATTTTGTTAAAAAGTAGTGCCTATATTCCTGTGTCAATGATGAAAAATTGCCATTTCTATTTGAATAAATTTACAATTTCAGTTTCATCAATTATATGAATGCTATCACAATGATACTATCAATGAATTTATTTTTTATTTTCTGAAAGACAGATATTTTCACCTAATTTGTTACCAATAACTAATATAAGTTAGTTTTACATGATGCCTATGTTAATATTATTCCAATTCATTGATTTCAAGCTGTTAAATGGAAATCCTGTATGAAAAAGGTACATCTACGCTCCTTCTTAACATATTGATAAAAAATAATGCAACTCAAATGTTCCTTCAGTTAATTTTATATAAAATAAAATTTTATGCTAAAGGTTAGTTTTGACTAGATAGTATAAAAAAAAGAAGAAAAAAAGTGCTTTATTGAACTTTCAAGAGGAAGAAAATAGTTACCAACATTATTATAAACATTGTCTCAACATTATTCGTTTATTAGTATAAATTTAGTCAAAATCACTACTGGATCCAGCAGGGGGGTGCAGACCCCACCTGGAAGCTAGGAAAAAAAATCCAATAAACAGCTATTTTAATAAAAGAGAAATATAAAGAATATTCATCCTCTTAGACGAATTTCCTAATGTAACCTAAAAAAAAAAGTATTATCGTGAGCAGCATTAGATAATTCTGCTAGGGGGCGTCCCCCTCTGAATGATGGAAAAATAATTCTGAAAAAACAGTTATTTAAATAATAGAGAAATATAGGAAAAAATCAACCTTTAAAATGAATTTCCTAATGTGATCACCATCACCCTGAGCTCGACAATCCATTACTGGATCTTGGCTGCCTCAAGAGTTTTTCTTTATGTACTCTGTCCTGAGCAGCCTCCACCAGTTCCTGATTTCAAGGATTCTGGCATCAGCACATACTCCATCTTTCCATTTCAGTTTCGGTCTGCCCACTTTTCTGTTTCCACCCACTCCATGCTCAGCAGCTTCTTTGGGATTTAGGTCTTGTCCATCTGTACAACTTGGCCCTCCCATCTCTGCCTTGCTATCTGAATATATTTGGCCACTTCCAGCTCTTTGTATAAGTTCTCCATTCATCATTCTCCTTAACTGGGCCAAATATCTTCCAAAGGTCCTTCCTTTCAAAAACAAGTATTTTAAGCCGCTCTTTAATGAAAAGAGAAAAATAGAGCAAATTCATCCTCATAGACGAATTTTCTAATGTAATATATATAAAAAAAATATTCTTATGACCAGCACTAGCGAATTTTATAAAGAGGTGACCCTCCTCTTGGATGGTGGACAAAAAATTCCGAAAAAGTTCCAAAAATCAGCTATTTAAAGAAAAGAGGAATATAGGGAGAATTCATCCTCATAGACGAATTTTCTAATACAATATTTTAAAAAATTATTATCTTGACCATTTTTATTATTCTCGCCTTTTTCTCATATCACGTCACCTCCACAGGCTGAGGATCAACTTGTACCCGGCCTTTGGCACACTGCGAGATTTTGTGAAACAAAAAATAGAATGTAAGAGCAAAAGTTGGCTCGTAGGGTGAAGTGATGTAGGTTTTGGACCGCTGTGATATGTGAAGGCATGTGCTCCTGTCGCAGTTTGTTCCTACTGATTCCAAACTGAAAACCATACATGAAAAAAAAAGAAAATTAATTTTAAAAAAATGATCTTTATTTATTCTTTTGAACAAACTTTTATTCGAGCACAAGAAAACGTTTTTTCTCCCGGACCCAGTTTTAATTCAGTTCCAATAGATCTTCTTGCAGAATCCGTGCAATTCATAAAACTGGTCACGGTAATAATTTGTATATTGCTGATAAGAAAGTGTTGTTCTTTTCTTAAAATAGCTGCTGTTTGAAACGTTTTCATGAAGGAAGGTACTAATTATTTGGTCTCCGATTTGTTCGGAATCTGATTACGATCGGAATCGGAAATTATTCTGATTTTTTTTTCTTAGAGAACTCATTTCCAAGCTGCAGAGCCATTTATAGTAATATGTCTCAGATTTTGACAATGTTGGTAAAAATTAGTGTTCATTGACTGTGGCTATCGACCATATCACTTAATCGAATAATTAAGTTTAGATACTCGTTCGACATACAATTTTCCATTCTTTAATTTCTTAAAAAAGTTTTTCGCTTTGATGCACTGTTTAGTAGTAATACATGAAAAAACAAAAAGATCAGATAAATCTGGATTTTTTGGCTGTTAAAAGTTTTCTCTTAGTGACCTGTGTTAGCAATTTTGTTTTTTACATGTCTAAACCCATATACAGGGTGTCCCATAAGTAGAGGGAAATATTTAAAGGAATGATAGCAGAGCTCAATAAATAAAAAAAAAGTTTAAATAAGGAATGGTTCGTCCCCCTCCTTTAAAAATTCCTGGATCCGTCAGTGGTCAAAATTTACATTTATGAAACCCTAGATGATCAGGTTTGTAATATTAATTTATCAAAACATGCAAAATACAAGAAAAATTCTTTTGAAATTAAGTGAAAACGAAAGAATAATTTATCTGCCCATCAACAGATTATTTAATATTTTTTTAAAGAACCTAGAACAATTTGAAGATGCTGGAACAGCTAAGCATAGTAGGGTGAGCCCCATAGTACTTGGGTCTGGGTGTACATTTAGTTGTTGAATTTGTATATAGCCAACCTATGTAGGTAAAATTGTCTGTTTAACACAAACAGTAACTGTTTAACAGTTACACAAACAGGGGGGCCTGCACTGTTTTAGAAGCTCTCCAAAAATTGTCTAGTGATCACAATGACTTTTCAAGGAGGAAAACCTCTTGCATGCACTTCATTTTAATTATATTTAGCAATATTCCCAAGTAATATATGATTTACATTTTCAACTGTTTAGTAGTTCATATATGCTTGTACTTGTGAGTTAAAAAATTCTAAAAATTGGCTAATTACAAAATTTTTAAGGAATATTCATTAAAATTTTGGTATGTACAACAAAAAAAAGAGAGAAATAAAAATACATTTGGTATACAACACTATGAGATCCCAAGCGCCAATAGCATTATGACAGCTATGTTTACAAAATACAATGAGAAATTTAAACTATAAAAATGATGCAGGTAAAAATATAAATTTCATATCACCACTATTCACAACAGTTTCTGTTTGTACATTTAATACCTTAAGTTTTTTTTTTTTTTTTTTGTACACTTAAAATCACTTTTCTTTCTGGTTGTAATAATAGTTCTTTCCATAATTACCAAACCACACACTTATCTTTAGGATTCATCTTAGAGCCAAGTGGACAGTTAAAATTTTCTGCAAATTCAGGAAGATTTGATAATGAACCAATTACTCTATATTTAGGTGTTGCGTGTGTATCCTTTTCAACTTGTAAGTTTGTTGCTTCATCAGTGCTTGCTGAACACCAAACCTGCCAAATTTATGAACATATATAATCTCATAAATACAAATGTATTCCTAATAAAGTAATTACCACGTTGTAGCCTAACCTAAGCGTGTTTGCTTGTTTTTGCTTACCTGAGCAAAACTAAGGAAGAAAAGTTGTTTATGAGTTAGGTTAAGTGCCGGCAGGGGTATTTCTTCTTTGTTCTTATCTACCCAATCTAAGTAAGCTCTATAAGCTGCCTTTAATCCTCCATTGTCAGCTATATTTTCCCCTGAAACAGAAAAAAAAAATTTCTTTGAATTGAATGTTTAGTTATAGAAACAGGGAAAAAAATCATTAAAAATATCAACTAATAATATTACCTAAAGTTTGCTTTCCATTTAAATGCTTGTTATTAATCTCATAACTAGAATACTGCTTCACAACACATTCTGTTTGTTTTTTGAACCTTTCAATCGTTTTATTATTCCACCATTGATGCATATTTCCATATTTATCATACTCACGTCCTAGAAAAAGAATGTATTAATGAAGACACAAAGACAAATCAATATCTTTGTAACAATCTCAATCGAAATTTTCCAAACCTTGGTCATCAAATGCATGTGTCAGTTCATGGCCCATAACTACACCCATAGCACCGAAATTGAGAGCCTGCTGATGATTGATATCATAAAAAGGTGCTTGCAGTATTCCAGCTGGGAAAGCAATCTGATTTCGATTTGGAGTATAGTATGCATTGACAGTTGGAGGGGTCATATTCCATCTGTAATATCAAAATATATATACTTTTTATTTGAAATTTTTATGAGTCAGCTACTCAATGAAGTAGAAAAGTTACTCATTATTATGATTTACCATTCCAATGGTAGCTTATTTAAATTAAAGTGAATATCGTCACCTACCACAATTTTGAAATCAGTACAAGTAATAATCTAAGATCAACTGGTTATAAATATATATTGTGTTGATCGAAGCCACTTACAACTTAATGTAATCAAAATATCTAATGATTTAAAACTTACCTTGTTCTATTAACAGATTGACCTAATTTTCTTAAATTCTGTTTCAAATTATATTTATTGGCATTTATATTATTTTGAAAGTACTGGTCTTCACTGACATCCAGGTCTCCATATTTTTCATCCAATCGTTTTGGATCCAGAATATAGTCAGGAAAACCTGAAAGTTTCAAAGAATATCACTGATGATTCAAAACTGGTTTTAGTCATAAAAATTACATTGATTATTATAATTTTATTAATATCTGAAAAAACTATCTGTCATTCTTATTTCATTCCGGAAAAAGTAGAGCTTCTGATAGGGTGGGCTTAGATAGTACTTAACCAATAAAAAGAACTGACATAAATTTACTTCAATGAAGCTGAATTAATAATATAATATTTATGTACTTTAATAGCTGAGTCTCATGGTTTCACATCGGGTTAATTTGGATTATACATGCATGTATGTGAATACTTGACCAAGTGCCATCTGATTAAGTGCATAGTAATAAAAATTTATGTGGAAAAACAAATGGGGCAATCACTAAAAAAAAAAAATTATATGACAGAAAGCAAGCTCAGCTTAATGACTTATTAAGCTTAGTTTTATGCTCATGGTTTGTTCTAAACTAATTTTAAAAAATATATCCATCGATGATAAATAATCTCTTGTTTTTAAAAACTTTTTCTGCTTCCATTTCATTTTGTCATCTTGTTTTATTTTGGTTGCATTTATGCGAAAATTAACATTTCGTCTTTTCAGTGACATTTTTAATAACAGAAAAAATACGATTGAAACAAAAATGTAATAATTAACATTACTAAGTGTACCTTCTCTAAAAATTCACTGAATATGGTTGAAAATATTTTATCTTATTTTATTACCAGTCAGATCAAGATTTTTATTGCTTAAACCCATCCTGAGACAACACGGATCATTATGCAAACAAACTCATGTCCAGTAGTTTTTGTGGTTTGTGGTAACAAACAAAAATGGGATGTCCTTTTATATACTAGTATAGATTTGTTTGAACATAACATATATTGTAGAGATAACAGATTATTAGGAGCACCATATAGAACAAAGTTTAAAAAATTAAAATTAAAATAATTAACTTTTTAAAATTAAAATAAAAAAATATATATATAATTTATATTAGTATAAATTACTGTTCTTGGTAATTCACAAAAGTGTATTGTATCATCCTTGCTCTCCAAATGATACGCTCACTTGTTTAAACCTAAAAGATTATTTTCATGCTCACAGTAGCAAAATTATATACGTTATTTTATATATTTATAAGTTTAGTATAAAAAGTGGAAACTAAAAGGAACTAATAATAAAAGGTTTTTTCAATCAGACAAGAAAATCTAAACAGAAACAATAAAAATACACATAAAGTAAAATTGAAATGAAGGAAGCGTAATTTAACTCATTTGGATTACTGAGCACATTTATTGCAACATTTTACTATAATTTTTTTTAATGTTATAAGAATGTTTATATAAAATGAGGATAAATTTAGGAAAATTTAATACTACCTATCATATCACTGATTGCATCTGCTTTACTTTCAGCTAATAAGCGTGTTTCTTCATCCATCCATGTCAGTTCTTTTAAGTTCTCTTTAAATGCAGTCCGTACCCTATTTATCATTTGTTCTGCCTAAAATAGTGAAATAATTCAATAATAACTACATTAGATAAATAAGATAGAAAAATTTCAAGCTTTGGAAACAGTTATAAACTGTATATAATTGGGATGTAAACCACACTTTTTTCATTATCAGTGTATTATAATAAAGCACACTAATACACTTACCATTATTTTTGATTTGCCTTGAAACGCTTCTCTCACATAAACAGCACCCACAGCGAACCCTAGAACATTGTTGGTGTCTGTCACACAATATCTCCACGACTCTTCCCCTCCTTCAGTTCCAACAAGTGCTTTCCTTAATCCTTTGTAAGCATCTCTGAATGGTCGGGACAAGCAACCAGTCAAACTTCTTACCATCTGCCATATTAGATAATTATTCAGAGTTCTGTAATGATAAAATTTTGTTAATGATTAAGATTGTGGAAGTAAATTTTTTATTATTATCTGGATTTTATATTTGTAAACCACTATAGTGGAAGTTGGAAAGGAATAGGGATGCCTGTGAAGAGAAGTGGATTCAGATTGCGAACTTGGCTTTCCTGTAGGATGGTCATCGGGGATAGTTTAGGTCTATACTCCCTGAGGGGATATAAAGTTCAAGCTCACATAAGGATTCCTTGGATGGATTTGTTTTACTTATTTATTATTATTGTAAATATGTAAAGTAATTTAATTTTAGTTATTTTATTAAATAATTAAATAAATTTTAATATTAATTAGATTTAATTTGTAATTTAATTCTTAGTTGTTTCTGTTTTCAAGCTATGAACATAATAAAAGGCTTTATTATTAATATTATTTATAATTATGCAAATTGAAATGATCCATTTAGGGGAAAAAAGTGAAAATTGTAAAAAATTAAAAACAAATCTCAATTCATTGTTTCTTAAAATTATTGATAAAGCTGTTGCTCTAATTATTGAATAAAATAAAACAGCTTACATTTTGCCTTCTGTTGTATTTTTGTACTGCTCTATTACTGTAGTTAAGTTAGCAAGATATTTCGGGGCATAGACAACAATCTTTTCTTTATCAGTTATTTTCTTTTGAACAATTCTCAATGCATCACTAAAATAATCTATCCATGATATCTGAAAAATATGGAGAAGAAATAAAAAATAATTCTTAACTAAGATTCAAAATCAATTAAAGAAATAATAATTACAAAGGGTGCTATTTCCTGTAATTCTGCCACAGCCATCAGATTGTACATTTTTTCTTCATCTCTTCTTTCTTCTGCTGGTATAGTGATTTCTGCTAAACGAGTTTCAAAATCTATCACAGCCTGCATTAGTCCTCTTGTCCTATTTCTTTCACCACCAAGCAAAACACCAATCTATAAATATTAATTTATATAAAAACAAAGGAACCATAACTTTAATATATGATTCAGCAATCAAGATGTTAATATTTCAAAATTCTAATTGAAATTTAAAAGCATATTGTATACCAAATAGACTATAAGAAGTAAGACAATTAATAAGTTCAAATTAATAATAATTACATCAGTCATGTAGTCAAGATAAGCATGAAGGATTTTTTCATTTGCCGTTTTATTAAGGTAAGTGTCCCTGGTAGGCAATGTCAAACCAGCTTGATCAACCTAATGTAAAACATAAATTTTATAAAAAAATATTTATACTAGTTAAAAATTTTAAAGTTAAAATTAATTATAAACGTGTTAATGATATATTTTACCTGGATTATATGTATACTAGAATTTCTGTCATCTTCTTGAACTGCCCAAGAAAAAAGTCCTCCCATGTTGTATTTGTTTTGTAGAATCTAAAATAGTATTAATATTTTTAAAAACAAATATTAAGTTTACTATGAGCTTTAATTAGAGCTGTAATGATCTTATATCCTTACAAATATACATTCAGGTTTTTGATTTTAAGATTATTGATTTATTTAAGAAATAATCGTTGTTTTCATTCAAACTTTTACTATTGATGTTATGACTACCTTTACTTAGTTAGGGTCCGATAACGAGAATAATTTTTATAAATTTTAATAAAATAATGCTTAAATGCAAGCCATTGCTATGGAAGAATAACAGCTTTATTTTTCTGTTTAGAAAAATATTAATTTATTAATCAATTATCATTAATAATTACTGATCAAGCGTTATTGGCATTAAGTAAATAACAAAAAGTGAAACAATTGATACCAAACAATATTAAAATAAATTGAATTATTTACTTATATTTGTTTTCCTTCATCTTGAATAAAAACAAATCTAAAGGTCTACTTGGTTGTATAGATATAGATCAGTTATTAAATTTAATAATATCAAAAAACTTATATTATCAAATCATTCACTTATAAGTGCTAATTTTTAAACGTAAAAAAACAAAAAGTTCAGTAATATTTTGATACAACTTAGAAAACTTTTACGAGTTTTTTTAAAAGTTTTTTTTTTCAAGTCCAGAACTGGTATTTCATATTTTTAAGAATATAGTAACCATCAAGATCAAAAAATAATTTAAAAATATTTAATATTACCTGCAATGATTGTTGAAGATTCCAGTTTTCAATATTAAATGGTCCTGCAATACTCCAACCTCCAACTTCTTTTAGCAAATCCAACATTGGTTTAGCACCAAGAGCTTCTATTGTCTCATTTGCGTCCATACATGACATGTAGTATAATTTGGCTTTCTTTTCAGACTTGGATTTTAGTTCATTGAAAGGTTTTTCTGGGTAGAAATAAAAATATGAACTAAAATGGTATTGAAAAATTAAAACAAAAATTACCATATAATATATTGTAAAGATAACCATTAAAATTTTGATATAATAAAAATTATTGAAATTTCTAATATCTCTGGAAAACAACTAATTAAGGGTCTGTACAAGTGAGTCTCGACATGGAAATGATGTACCCTTTGAAAATGAGTAAATAAAGAAATGTGTAGGCATGAGTATTTAAAAAATATTCTATAATTTAGTGTATAAGAAAGTGGTATAAACAATAATAGTAATAATAGAGGTAAGAGATAGTTAATCCTCCAAGTATTGCCACTAACAGCAAAAGTTATATATTATCGGTTTGAAATAGTGGTTATTGGAAGAAATAAAAGAGAATACTTAAGTGAAAGGCACTGATCCATAAAGGTTGATAAATGTAGTAATTCCTAATCTATGTAATAATAAAATATTTTGATGGATATTACTTATTTGGCTCTGACTTTATCACAATAAATTAAATACACATACAATGAATGCAATTTAAATTCTTTAAAAAAAAAACCTTATTTTTTTAATGTAGTTATCCGTTTAAAATTTGGTGGTATAATAGCTATTCAAGTTGAGTTTGAGTTTGAGAAGATTAGATAAGGTTTAAAAAAAAAAAGTATTCATATTTAAACTTAGTATAGAGATTTCAATGATTTACGAGGACATACCAAGGGCATTCTTGACAACTAGCTGATTCTGTTGGTCCAGCTTGACAAATGTTCCCCACATTGATTTGCCATCAGGAATGGGATTCTCCTTTATCCAATTACCACAGGCAAAATTGTAGAAATCCTCGCATGGGTCAACTGACCTGATTGTCAATGATTAATATGTTAGAAAATAAATTTTAAATCATATATATACTTCATTGATTATAGTCCTAAATTATTATATACCTTTATATTAAAATTTTGTTGATGTACATTTTTTATAGAAGCAAATTATATAGAAGTTTATTGTTAGTGAAAGAATTAACTTAATTAATAAATGATACTTATAAATTTCTTGACCGTTTCACAAACTATGGTTAGAAGAGTAGTCAGAATAATAACAGTAATAATAAATATATTAAATACTTCATAAAACTTATCAAATTAAAAATGTTAAAATGAATGGTTATTGCATTCAATCGTTAAATTGGACACTAAATGTGGGGTGATAACAGACCTCAAGAGTTACAAACAAATTTATATAAATAATGGTCAGATCTTCCATAGAAAAGTATGGAATTTAAGTTTTGGATTTTTTTAAATAAGTCAAGTTTTTTGAGGAATAGGAAGCGACAACTAAAAACATATTTATAACTCAAGTTATTAAAAATTACATTAAAGTCAACTAGACAGAATTTACCTCAGATGAAAGTGAAGGTTTTCATTGTTATTTCTATTTAAAGAGGACCTTCATACTTATCTTGACTACATCACTGATATAATAAGTATTAATTGACTTATATTGTTATAAGATTTGAAGAAGCGGATAAACTAATCTAAGTTCGGTTTATAAAAAAATTCTGAATTATTCGAGATTTTTTTTTAGCATTTTTCAACTATACTAAAGATACTCTACTTTTAGAAAACTTCAATCTTTAAGTCCATATAAATTAAGTTGAGGTTTATTATAAAATAAGTTGAGATTCACCTTCAGCTGTGTAAAAGAATGAGATGATTTGATATCCTATAACCTAAAGTAAGCCTATTTTCAGTAAAAATGGGTGTAATAAATTATTGCAAAGTTTTATTTACTTTTTTCATAACCTGGGATGTATTATAATAAACATGATTAGAAAAATATGAATTTTATTAACAAAAAAAAGTAAAAAATAATTATTTTTTTTAATATTTATTTTGTAAAGTTATAAGAAAACTGTATTTTTTATCCAGATTTCTTTTATTGGTATTGATTCGTATTTATAAGTGACCAACTAAGTGTTCCTTAGGATTATAGTTTCGTTTTCATAAAAATAAGTCAAGCTATCAGCGAGTTTTATTATTTTCAACTTAAATATTAGGATTGAAAAATTTATTTTGTCAGTTATTTATGGATATATGGATCAGTGTGATATATGGATCAATTTCTATAACTGGAATCTTAGTAAAATCACAGTTTCATTATTGCTTTAGATGATAAATATTCGACAAATTATTATTTTTTTTTTTTAATAAAAAGTGTATTTATGAGCTTATCTTTATTTTAATATATCCTATGTAATGAAAATAAATAAATAAATAAAGCTTTGAAATAATTTAGTAAAAAAAATTGCGAATAATTTTCGATATTTTTAAAAACTAAACTTTGCTTAGTTTATTCGCTCATAAATCCTTTCCAATGGATATAAAAATGACAATATCCATCTTAATTTGAAGTAAATTTTGTCTTGTTTACTATAATGCAATTTTTAAAAACTTAAATTAAATATTTCTTTAGTTATCGCTTCCTGTTCATCAAAAAACCTGACTTACTTAAAAAGCACAAAACTTAAATTTCCTAATTTTCTGCGGAAAATTGGACCATGGTTTATATAAAATGTTTGTAACTCCTGAGGTCTGCTCTCTAATATATTATGCTAACAACTAATATATATTATGCTGACAACTAATATATATAATATACAGCAATGACAATCAAAGATGAGTAAAAAAAATTACCTGTCTATCGACGATATTAGATTTGCTGCAGTCTTAACACAAGTTTCTGTCAGGCACACTTGCTTTTCCGGTATCACTAAAAAAGGAAAAGAATCCCTAATTAGTAAAATTAGTACCACACAAAGTAAAACTTGATGCAAGTTGTGAATAGTAAGATTTAATCTGGGTTGATAGGGAAAAAAATAAATTGTGAAAATAAAAGTTGAGACCAGAGTGAAAAAGCATCCGAAATATTATATTACCCTCCGAAATATTTAGGATTTTTACACTTATAAAAATCAATTCCCAACTGCAGTATTTTGACTACTGTAATAAAAAATTTCTTTCTTACTGCATTAATTATGAAAATGCACAAAATATTCCTTCCAGGCAAGCAAAAACCATCAATCGATGTTTACATACCCAAGCACAGATAATAATTAAAAATTTTGTTTTCTTTGATAGAATATGTTGATCCTTGCCGACGAGAAATAATCTTCTTACAGAAGTGTAATCGTTGGATAGTCTTTAAAAGATAGCCTTTGGGTCGCCCAACATCACGTTGCTTCAGACCATCGTGACGCAATGGCAGACCAGCCTCCTAGCTCTATACTGGTCCGTTTGGGGCCAATCTGCCCGTGTCCTTCCCATCGACAAACTCGGGTTTAATGATAGAGACAAATCGGTATGGATTTATGGATGCTGCGTGTCACGAGGGCTTATATTTCTTTTCCTTTAACAGACCTGTTATGTTCATGGACCGAACTTCAGAGGGACTACTGACATCCTGGAGAAACATATCCCAATTCCATATTTAAGTAAATGGGGTATGGTCATCATTCCTAAGCGCGGTCGATGTGAATTAGCTCCAGTAGTCTGACGTACCATAGATGGAATCTCTAGCAGCGTGGCTATCCCTAGAATCCGTAAAGGGTTTATAAATACGCAACCCAGCCCCCAATAGTTAATATATAAAATCAAATAAATGCAGACTGGGATCAGCATATCTCTTATCAACCATATAATAAAACCCTAACCAATGGAGATAATACATCACACCAAAACAGTTCAATATAAATTTAGTATAAGTTACCTGTTTTGAAAAGAAGAAAGATCTTTTTTGGCTATGGTTAATTTGGAAGGGGTGTCCTCATCTTAAGTACATAGTTGATCTGTTGTATTGGTATAACATATGGTTTATATTTACTTTTAAACCATTGATAATGCTTTTAAATATGGTGTTTCATAATACCCATACATAGAATAATTTGCCAAGTGAAACACAATGAACTGTGAGTCAAACATGAACATTTTATTTCTTGATTACAGATGATATATTATATATTTATTTATAAACAAGTTGCATAAAGGTTACTTACGTGGAGGGAATATTGATTGGGAGGGATAGTGGCGGCCAGTAGCCGTGAGGGCGAGTGCCAAGATGAAGACGATCAAGAGAAGTGTGACCACGGAGAGGATGAGGCATTTCTCCAGCAGGGTTCGTGATTTCCAGAGTGTCGTCCCCTGCAACAATATAATTAGTATAATCGTCTTTAAATAAAAAAACAAAGTTTAATTCCCATAGTGATGGTTGAACTTTTTTTTTTTGTTTAAATAAATTGAATAACAAAATTTAAATATAATTCAAATTCAATATAACAATCCGATATAGCTGAACATTTTTATAAAATTTCTTATTTTTTTCTTTTCAAACTGTACGGAATAAAAACATTTTAGGTGGAAAACTGGTAGACTATCGATACTTTTAGTAGATTTTAGTTAATTGTGGGATGCAACAGGAATGAAACGCACAATGTCTTTTTTATTTTCTCTATACCAATGTTACGGCCTAAGTTTTATGCGCTCATTAGGTCTTCTCGCTTCCGAGATTTTTTGACCGATTAGCTCTGATGAAGGCCTAAAACATTGTCCGAAACGTTAGCACATAGGAAAAAAAAAATTGTGTGCTTCACCCCTAACCAATTTCTCCTATTTTCGTTTTCCTGTATATCATTCTGGGAGTAATGTCAACTTTTTTTTTTAATTTACTAAAATATTATTAATAATAGTAATAAAAAACAATGATGTATAACAATAGAGTTTATTTTGAATTAATAGTAATGTTAAATTATTATGATGTTGGTTTCATAAAATAGAGTATCTTCCTGCAATGTTTTTTTGTTTCTTAGTTCTAAAATTTTGGAAACCGTTAAGTGCAATTAAAAAAAAAATGACGTCACATTAAAAAAAAAATGTTTATATAAATTCAGTTATCTTTAAACTACGGCACGCAAGCCCCTCCAGTCCGGCCCGCGAAAGTTGTTTTGATTATTGGGTAAAATTTTAAAAAGTATTTGATTTAGTAAATCACTTGAACAAGTGGTTTCTACAACAGCCATTGCATGAGGTGTTTTTCTTATAAAGCTCATTTTACAAATGAAGGTCCCAATATGGCCCGCGAGCCTAAAAGTTAAGTAAAAGACCCCTACAATAATTAGATCACACATAAAACTAGCTTTTGAAATACGGGAGTAGTTAAATGATGTAGTCCCTGAGAAAATAAAATTAATACACATTTCAGATATTATAATGTACATACTTATATTTGACAAATGTTTGACTTATGTTCATTTTTAGATGGAAATTTTCTTTTAATTTAATATTTATAATATTAAATAAATATCTTTTTATATAAACTCAGTTGACGAATCCATCCAATGATACAATGCTAAGAATGATTTTTTTTACGTCACATTTTATTTACAGCGACTGTACTTAGTAGACAAATCGGAATATATTTTGTATAACGACAATAGTCCGTAGTGGTAAAGACAACATATAGTCCTTGGTACAGACCCATTTTTATCAAATTATTAACATCCGGCTGAAATTTAATAATAGATTCATCTCATCGTAACCAACAACTTTTTAAAATGAAAATTTCTTTAGGTGAGCTATGCACTAATTTATGAATGAGATTAAGCAGTCAAGCTCGGATATATAGAACTCATTCGAATATATTCGACTCGAGTCGATCTAATTGAAGTGTTTTACAATTTGGATTAAATTATATAAGACAATGAAAATCGGGCTTGCATGTCGGACTGTAAGCAAGGGAAATTTCATCCTCTTTATGATGAGCTATTATTGAAAATTGTATATTGGCATGACGTTATATTAGAGAAGCAAAAAAGGAAAAATATAGTATAAAAAACCAAATCACAACGAACTGCATACTAAATATTGTCATAATCAATAATGAATCATACGAAAATAATGAGAATATACGATCATCGTATATTTTAGTTATCATAAACCTTGTTTCATTTTTTAGAATATGATACTGACCACTAGCGGATCCAGGATTTAATTTTGGGGGGAGGGGCTTCAGCCCGAAAGCTTTTTTTTCATAAAAATAACGATAATTACTTTGGAAAAAAAGAAATAAACTAACTGCCTACATGAAATGGTGTTTAAGTGATTCCTTAAGTCCTTTTAAATGTGATTACATAAACAATAATACTTTATGAGATAATTTTTTTAATATTTTTTTCCATAAAACATGGTTACATTTTAAAATGTTGGGGGAGCTTCAGCCCGAAAGCCCCCCTCTCCTCTCCGTAGATTCACCCGTGATACTGACTTAGTATGATCAGTCGGAGCAGTACTGTGCAAGTAGCAACAAGAGAAAAAGATAGTGTCGAAGACCAAATCATTAAGTTTTGTTGAACATGTGGATTAAAATATCTCAAAAACTAAAATTCGGACCTGAATAATTGAAGTGAGGGAAATTTTCAGCATTCCATCTTATTAGTAATGAATTATTTATTAAAATAGTTGTTATTAAAATTTTACTTTGATGTGAAGCCGAGTTAGAGAATCAGAAAATTTTGAAAATTTCATATTATTAATCCTGCCTTGTTAATGTTTTCACTTCTATCTTGCGGTTTTAAGCACACACTATAGTTTTTCCATTATACGAAAATTCACTGAATATGGGCGTTTTCAAACTGACGATCGGCAAATTTTCTCTATTTAATTATGCACTTAATCATGAACACCCATTTGCTTTCCACTTGAATCGTGAGATAATTTTATCACAAAATTGAGAAAATATTGTAGTATGAAAAAATATTCAACCCATGTCAAAATAAGATCAATATTAAATTCAATAGATAGGCCAAACGGCCCAATATTTTTATAGATTTTGTGATCAAATTATGTTACGGTTTAAGTGGAAAGAAAATGGTTATTTGTGATTATTATTATTATTACTAATTATTATACCATAATTATTATTACCTCATTAAATTAATTAGTTAAATGAGAAAATGCCCTTTTCTTGGATAAAGATTTTACATACTACATAAGATAAGAAGAAGCCATTCACGATGTTTTAGACGGATGTTAATAATTCGATAAAATGAGTCGACTATTATGTGCTGTTGACTCGGTCGGGCGTTCAAGATATACCATACCGCACGACAAACGAACCAATAGTCAATCCACAGTTTTTTTGGGTTCGTTATGCATTTCATAGCTATGATTAAAACGGTTTTCAAAATATTTTGACATACAGAATTCGACCATAAATTAAAAATCTATTTATTAACTGAACTTGCCTCTAAGCTGCTCTCTAACATTCTTTTTGAGAGGATTCTCCCGTATTCTGAAAAGGAACTGGGGAAATATCAGGCTGGATTTCGAAGAGGACGCTCAACCACTGATCAACTGTTCTCTCTGAGGATGATCCTAGAAAAGACTATGGAGCATAAGGCAGTCACCCACCATTTATTCCTTAGACTTTAAAGCAGCATACGACAGCGTTGATAGAACGCGACTATACTGTGCCTTGGAGGAGCTAAGCATCCCTCAGAAGCTCATACGCCTAATCAAGATGACCATGGACAGCTCGAGATGTAGAATACGCGTCGGTTCTGACGACTCCGAAGAGTTTAAAGTGAGCAGTGGGGTTAGGCAAGGGGATGCCCTCGCTTGTCTATTGTTCAACTTGGCAGAGGAGAAAGCTGTAAGAGACTCCGGTATTCAGACCAACGATATAATCTTCAAACGCCTGACACAGCTTCTTGGTTTTGCTGATGATATTGACATTATAGGTAGGTCTGAACGGGCTCTCAGAGAAGCGTTTATAGGCCTTGAAGCAGCTGCAAGACCACTTGGTCTAGAAGTCAACGAGAGGAAAACTAAGTATATGAGAGTTGGTGGTGAGGTGGATCTGAACTCTCCATTTGAGGTAGGTTCTTTTAAGTTTGAGAGAGTGAAAAGTTTTATATACCTTGGGTCTGAAATTAATAGCAAAAATGACATGGCTCAAGAAATACAAAGAAGGATCACAGCTGCCAATAGATGTGTCTTTGGACTTGGCCGACACTTAAGAAGTAGGTACCTCTCAAAGAAGACCAAGCTGATCATATAAAAAACCCTTGTTCGGCCTGTTTTGACATATGGCTCAGAGGCTTGGACGATGACCAAAAACGATGAGATGAAGCTGAGTGTGTTTGAGCGAGGAGTCCTCAGAAGGATTTATGGTCCAGTAAAGGAGGGTGATGTATGGAGGAAAAGAAAAAATAGGGAGCTCAGTTCTCTCTATACAGACATCGACGTAGTCACCTATATTAAACTGGCCAGACTAAGGTGGGCAGGGCATGTGGCCAGAATGAGCACCGTTGAAATACCAAAAAAAATAATGATGGAGGAGCTGCACCTCGTAAGACGGGTAGGAAGGCCGAGGACGAGATGGTTGGACAACGTGGCCTATGATGCGAGAACCCTGCTTGGTGTACGGAACTGGAGAGCTGCAGCAGAAGACAGAGCCAACTGGCGGAGGCTCTTGGAGGAGGCCCAGTCTCGGTAACGGGATGTCGTGCCACACATGATGATGATGATGAACTTGTTTCTATTCAATAGGGTCATTGGCAATTCTTTATTTACTCCAAAATCCTATATTCTATTGTAAAATTTAAATAACTCATCAGGATTTTCACATCTCTCTTGTAATATTCCCTGAACAGTTCTGTGTAGGTAGAGGTTCTTTTTTTGTGGCTCCATAGTAAAATTATATTATCTTGAATGTGTAGAAAATTAAATGAAGTTTAGTTTATTGGAAGAAAAACCAAACAAAATTATAACCAGCATTGTAATTATCTATTACCTATTAGTAAGTGGTAAATACTCCTTTTTATCAAATAATTAACATCCGCCTAAAACTTCTTGAATAGCTTCATCTCATCGTAGCCTACAAATATTATATTCACGAAAATTTTCGGAATTGGGGCGTTTTCAATCTGGAGATCGGTAAAGTCTATTTAATTAAGTCTTTAGAACTCATGAATACCAGTTTGCGTTCCACTAGGATCGTAAGATAATATGATCACTGAGTTGGAAAATAATGTAGACTACAAAAATATTGGTCCGTTTGGTGAGACCACCACACCCAAAATTCAAAATAACGAGATTATTTACTCGCCAAATGGCCCAATATTTTTGTAGGCCACTTTTTTTTT